TGGGCGCACCCCCGAAACGCTTGAGCGTGAGCCTCGGTTTCCAAGGAAATGCAGCCACCGTCGAGGCGAGAGCGCCAAAGCGCATGTAGGAGGCTTAGCAATGATAGCTGTTGCTTGATAGTTGCTACTCAACAGCAACGCACAAAGGTACCGACAGCTGCGCAGCTGGCAACACTCAGCGCGGGCGAGGTCTCATTTGAACCCCCGCGGGATCTCGCTCTGTGAGAACCCAAATGAGCGCGCCCAAGCGACGATTGTTGTAAAGGACCGGACTCTATACACCGACGTTTTCTACGGCCCCGCACTGAAATTCGCACAAGAAAGCGGATCCTGGTGTATACGGGATCCTGGTGTATACATTTTTCGCTGCTTCCACGGGAAAACGGAGAAAATAGTATACACCACACCACTCCGACGTCGTCCACGACCCTCAAAAAAGTTCTGGGACTGAAAAACAGCCCGCCACTGGTAATGTATATGTTCCAGTTTCCGACATGTTGCGCAATTGGTGACATCCGAAGAGGGCGAGGTCTCGGTTGTACCCACGTGGCGCCGCACTCCACTGGACCCTACAAGGAGCTGACGAGATGGCAACAGTCGAGCAAATAGCAACACCCAGTGAGGAATCCCACCGGCAGCCTTTGCGTGAGTAGTCTATCAGTTTTCCCCTTTCATCTTCCCCTTCTTCAATTTCGGGAGGGAGTTCATCAACATCCCCTATTGATAAACACCCCCTCCCCCACCCGACCAGCAGCCAGCCCAGACCACTGAGGGCACCCATGCTCGGAGGCGCGCAGACATGGATTGGCGATGCATGGATTTGGCGAGCGGTCGCCAAATCCATGGATCGGGGGAAGTGCCCTCCCCCAAATGCGGCTGGTGCCGCCTCGTTCGGCGGCGGAGATCAGCGACTTCTCATGGAAACGGGACCCGTCGCTAATCCACGCCCCCTTAATCCATGTTTGCGATCGCCTGACATGCGGGCCCCCTCCACAATCCCTGTCAACAAGAAACATACAAATACACGTTGCCCCCAAATCTGGGAGATGCCTGGGCGTCGCCGTCGGCGCTCCCTCCTGCTCCCCGGGACCTCGCCAGCCGAAGCGGCACGGCCTGGGCGAAATGGAGCAACGTCACAATTGAGACGAAGGGAGGCCTCTTCCCTTTGATCCCTTCCCCGCAGGGGGGGTGGTCCCGGAGGGTGGTCCAGGGGGAGGTGGTCCCGGGTCAGAATACCAACCTCCCCGGGGGGTCCTGGGGCCAAAGAGGCCCCCCAGAGAGCCCCCACAGGCGCCCCCAAGGAACCGCCAGGAACCCCCAGGAGGCTCCCAGAAGGCTCCCAAGACACTTCGTCAGGGTTCTTGGGCCCCTCTGCGGGCCTCGTGTAGCCTCTTGGGCACTTGGGGGCGTCTGATCCCGATCTTCCCGAATGCCTCTTCCATCGTGGGGTCGTCGTCCAGGGTCGGCGGCACCGGCCGCAAGGCCTTAGCATCACACTTTGCCCCCAAATCTGGAGCATGCGCGGGCGGCCCGCGACCACTTTACACTGCTGTTTTTTGATAGGGGCGGTGGGGGTGCTGGCATGCTGCTTGCTGCGCGCAGGCCCCCCCCCACCATCACCCCTCCACCGCGCCGCAACAAAAAAATCACACTGCACCATAATCTGGATCATGCGCTGACGCCCGGCGATCACTTCGCATTGGTTTTTGACAAGGGCGGCGGGGGGGCAGCAAAGCGCCTGCTGTGCAATGACAAGAATCCCACCAGCCCTCTGGGCGTCGGTGGTTTAGGGCGTTTCCTCTTCCACCCCTCCTTCTTCCCCTTGGGGGAGGGGTTTACCCTCCCCCTTCCCCCTCCCCATGGACCTGGACAGGGGGTTCCGCGAGTCTTCAGAGCGTCCAAAACGGCCTCGGCGAGGAAGCCAAAATCATTGGTTTTACTATGGTGTTGGCCCCACTTTGGCCTCCTGGGGGGGCCCTAACTAATGCTCCCCTCTTGTTTGATCGATCTCCTCCAAGATGGCCCCAAGAAGCGACCAGGAGGCCCCAGGAGGTCCCAAGATGGCCCCAAGATGGCCCCAAGAGGCCCCCAAGCGGCCCCCAGGAGGCCCCCAAGAGACCCCCTAGAGGCCCCAAGAGACCCCCCAGAGGCACCCGAGATGCTCCAAGAGGCCTCGGCGAGAATGCCAAAACGGCCTCGGCGAGGAAGCCAACATCATTGGTTTACTATGGTTTGGGCCCCACTTTGGCCTCCTGGGAGGGGGCCCTAACTAATGCTCCCCTCTTGTTTGATCGGTCTCCTCCAAGATGGCCCCAAGAAGCGACCAGGAGGCCCCAGGAGGTCCCAAGATGGCCCCAAGATGGCCCCGAGAGGCCCCCAAGAGGCCCCCAGGAGGCCCCCAAGAGACCCACAAGAGGCCCCAAGAGACCCCCCAGAGGCACCCGAGATGCTCCAAGAGGCCTCGGCGAGAATGCTAAATCATTGACTGTACAAAGGTTTTGGCCACACATGTTGGACTTTGGGGGGGGCACTGATTAAGATCAAGAGCGCCTGGGAGAGCCCAAAATGACCTCCAAGATGGCTCAAGATATCCCAATCTGTCTCGTAATGGCTTCCTCTGTGTGCTGCCCACGTCCCTGATCGAGGCAATTCCTCTGGGCATCGTTTCTGGATGGGCTGGTGGGGATTCGTTTTGTTTTTACAGCCGCAGGCGGAAGCGCCGGCGGCGGCGGGTCACGGTCGGGCTGCGGCCGTGACAAATTACCCAAGCGCGCGCGGGGGCCGCGGATCAGGCGGCGGTGCAAGCTGCAGCCCAGGGAGTCTGAGAAGTCAGCCACCCAGGAAGCAGGGCGGACGCGGCCAAAATGGCGCGCCGCACATCCCCAGTCATGGATCGCGTGTCGGTCCGACAATTGCATGGTAGTAGTGGGAATCAGTCTCCGTGCAAGAGAGGTGTCAGAGAGCCCAGGGTGTCTGTCGGGTATGAGCGGACCGAAGGCGTAGAGCTGACGTCGTCCAGCAGGGAGGGGAATTTCTGACAGCGCAAGCGAACCGTCGCAGCTTCAGAAAGCGCATCCGGCGGCTGACAGGGTACGCCAGAAGTCATAGACAACCGGGGCCAACCTCAGAACAACTGCGGAGGGATGCGTCTGCACGCGAGAGATCAACGACATGATGTGCGGCTGGTGGGGATTCGCGAAGCGTCAACAATTGCCCACATTCACCCCATGGAGCAAAAAACAAACAAGATGCACTGTGCACGCATAAATCTTGATTATGCGCGGACGCCCCACGCTCACGTTGCATAAAAACAACCAGAATGGCCGGGGTGCCGGCAGATTGCCTGCTGTGCACAGGCCACCCAGCCCCATCAACAGAAACAAACCCAGCCCGTGCTGCCGGGGACGGCGGGAAAGGGCGGCACGCCGCCTGCTGCGCGCGCAGGCCCACCGTCCCCGGCAGGAAAACAAAACGCGTGCAGAGCGATCGCCGGTCCGTCTGCATGGGTCGGGCTGGGCGAAGGGGGGGATAGCAAAGGGGGTTGAGAATCAGCTCACGTTGCTGATTTTCCCAGCGCCTCCCGGCGCCAGAGGCGGCCATGCATCGAGGAATAGGCCCCTCGGTGGGGCTGAAACCAGCTGCATGCAGCAGATTTCGTACCCCTCCCCTTTCCCTATCCCCCCCTTTCGTTCGGCCCGAATTGGTTCTTTGACAGGGACGATGGGAGGGCCGACGTGAATTGTGCACCATGTGGCGCACCTGGTCAAGGGCTCCCAACTTCGCGCTTCGCGCTCTCGCGTCGCGCGAAGCGCGAGGCGCGAATCACTTCGCGCAATCGCGCCGCCTCCCAGGGGAGAAGAAGAGGATGAGGAGGAACCGGAGCCGAACCGCGAAGCGCGAATCACTTCACGCCCTCGAGGGCGCCCTTGATTATGCCCCATGTGGCGCACCTGGTGCGCGTGGCGCAGCTGGCCACCTCGCGGGCTTCGCGCACCTGGCTGGCGTCTGCTTTGGTTCCCTCTGGTTGTCGATGGGGGCCCCCGTCCATGCTGAGACTCGGGTGCTACCTCTGTGTTGAGAGGGCGGGTGGGAATGACCGAGACGGCTTGCTGCTTGTGGGTAGCTTGACCCCTCCCCCGACCCCTCGCCTGGACCCGAAGCAGGGTTTCGCGATGTGTCAGGGCGTCCAAGAAGGCCACAGCGAGCAGGCACAAACCACTTGTTGTTTTAAGGTGTTGGGCCAATGTTGGCCTCCTGGGGGGGGGGGGGGGCAAATCAAAGACACCCCCTTCTTTGATCGAACAACAGGCCCTCGGGACCCACTACTCTTCCTCTTCCTCCTCCTCTTTCCTCCTCTCCCCGAGGAGTAGGAAGAGGGGAGAGGAAGGAGCAGCAATACCCTCTTCACAACGAGCACCCAGCACGGGCGGGTGGATGAAAAACGTAAATTACGACAATCGATCATCTGCGATCCCTCCTCCTCCTTGCTCTCCGCCTCCTCCTCCTCCTCCTCCTCCTCCTCCTCCTCCTCCTCCTCCTCCTCCTCCTCCTCCTCCTCCTCCTCCTCCTCCTCCTCCTCCTCCTCCTCCTCCTCCCTCCTCCTCCTCCTCCTCCTCCTCCTCCTCCCCCCTCCTCCTCCTCCTCCTCCTCCTCCTCCTCCTCCTCCTCCTCCTCCTCCTCCTCCTCCTCCTCCTCCTCCTCCTCCTCCTCCATTCTCGTCCTTCTCCCTCCTCTCTTCTCGTCCTCCTTGTCCTCCCTCCTCGTCTTCGATCCTCGTCCTCGTCGTCGGTCATCGTCCTCGTTCTCCTCCTGCTCGTCCTCGTCCTGCTGGCCCTCCCTCCTCCCTCCTCATCGTGGGGCCCGAGCTCCACGGACGGATGCCACTCGTGGTCCCAACTTCGAGCGTGGCTCTCCACACAAATCCAGGGCGCTGCCCCCGCGCAGCGTCCCCCTTCTGCAGGCCCTGCGGCGCTCCCGCCCCCTGCCCGGCCGGCGGGGGCCGGTGTCCTCAGCAGGGACGCCGTCGGTGCCATCGCCATGTCACCTTGGCGGTGCGGCAGCTGCAGCATCACTCGGGGTGAGAGGTCAACACGGAGCTCGGGAGCGTCCCAGAGGAGGGCACCCAAGAGGGGGGGTCGCAGATCATGGCCCGAGGCATGTGCGCGGCCCAGGGTGGGGGAGGCCAGGGGACGCAGTGCAACAAGAGGGGCCATGAAATCTGAGGAGACAGCATGGCGCCAGCCATGATGTTTCCCCTCCCCCCCCCCAGGATCACCCCCCTCACCCGAAAAGCCAAACACAGAATGCATGTGAGTTGTGATATCGGCTTCGTCGTGCAGCACGGCCGATCATCGCTCCGAGCAGGCGTAAGCCACTTGATACAATCATGCAATGACCTCGGAGAAGAACCATGGCTTCACTATCGCGGCACCGACCATGAACTCACGGCCACGACTCATCTCGAGAAATCTCCATAGCGTCCGAAAGTCCTGGGATGAGTCCCCTGGATGCTTCTTAGAGGCCTCGGAGGCCTCAGATAAAGAGAACCACCGCACACACACAGAAACAAGTCCCGATCCTGAAGTAGTGGTCCTCATCCTCTCCTCATCCGTGGCTTTTGAGACTGAACCAGTAAGGTGCAACATGTTGCATGTGCTAATCAAACTAATCACTTTCGCGGCGTGCGATTTGCTATTTTTCGAGTTCTTGCATCTCGCGATTTGCCGATTGTCGTACGCTGAAATCGGCGATCTCGAACCAAGAAAGTGCTGGATCTGTCTCAATGTGAAAGTCTTCAAGGACCCTTGCCGTGCGAGAGCGCCCGTTGCATCGAAACACTGGAGTCACCAGAAGGTCAGTATTTCGTGCATCACCTGACCCTCAACGCCTGCAGTGCAAGAGAGGAGGGACGGCGGAGCGATGGGCAGGGGGCGGGGGAGGACAGGTGGCGAGAGGGAGCGGATTTACAACATGGCCTTCGCGTGATGAGGTGCCTGATGCTGGACACGAGCCTGTACGGACCTGGTGATAAACTGGGGGTCGACCACTGTCACGTTTTGCGTAAAAATGTGATGCCGTCTTCTACTTGAGGCAACAAGAGGGGCAAATCAAATCAATGTGTCGGCACACCTCCGGGGTGGTATTCAACCAATGGTGGGCCAAGAACGAGGACACTAAAACGGAGCAAAAACAAAAACGACCCACGAGGTGGTTGCCCGAGCAACGCTTCGGAAAAAACCAAGTGGTTCAACCCCGGAGGTCTCAAAGGACCACGCCGCACTTCCTGGTGCCCGATCGGGGTGGGCATGTTCATTGACGAGGAGGGAGAGCAAGAAGAGAAAAGAGGATGAAAGAGGACGGAACAGAAGTGCATCACTTTAATCTGGAGGCATGGAAGCCCCGATTGTGGACAGCGGCGGCCGAACCCCCTGCTCCTCCTGGCTCGGAAAAGCCTGTTGGATTCGGCAGACGGTGATCCCCGAAAGGCAAAGGCTGATTCGGGGTCGCAAACGTGGCCGCATGATGTGTGTTTCGTCGGTCCCTGGGCCGGTCTCTGCCGGGGTTCAGTCTTCCATTGGTCCCGTCCTTTAACGTGTTGTGATTGTTACTCGAAGTACACGTGTCTTACGGAAAAAAAGGTGGGGAATCGGACCCCGTACCAAGCAGGGCACAATTCCGGGCCATGCGGGACCGCCGGCGGCCCGACATAGAAGCTGGAAGGGGTGGAAAATGACAACACAATGAGACTGGGCGTGGCCAGGATTGGAACAACTGACGAGCCCGAAACCATTGCGATGAGGTCGCGGAGGCTGGAAAAACTGAAAGGAAGCTGGCCAGGCCTGGACAGAGCGGAGGGGTTGCCCCATGGGTTGCTGCCGGTTTCCCGGTAGCTCCGTCCTGGAAGAACGAGCGAGCGGTGGCGGCAACCGAAGCGTCAGGCAGGGTCCCTGAAGTTGTCCCGCGGCAGTGAAGCAACCCCCGTGAGTCCCCAGACGACATGACATGTTTTTCGTCAGCGGCGAAGCGGCGAACTCCTCTCCATCGAGAAGCTAGATAGGGGCACTAACTAGCGAATTGGCTGGCGAACAAAGGGGGACGGCCGAGAGGAAAAAAGGACGCTCAGACGCCGAAGAGTTCGACGATAAGCAGCCCGGGGCGCAGCAGCAGCCAGGCGCGCAGGGCCAGAGCGCGGCGGGCAGCCGTTGCGAACCACGGAAGCAAGGGCGGCGGGGAGCGGCAGTCAGCGGCTGGAGCTGGCGGGGGTCGCAATGGGACACCACGAACGACGTACCGCGGCGCACCGAAAAGAAGGCACAGTACTGAGCCGTGTGGAGGCAGGAGCAGCGGCCCGAAGGCTGGCAGTGACAGGGGGCACTGCGGCGTGACCGCCCGGGGCCACGAGGCCAGGGGGCGGGGAGAGGTGGGGCGGGAGGCGGCGGGCGAAGCGTCCCAGGCGCCAGCGGGCGGCGGGGCGGCACAGCAACGCTAGGAGGAGGAAACGCGGGACAGCAGGAGTGGCAACGCAGCCAGATGGCTGGCAGAGAGAGGGGAGTGGCGGCGACCGCCCAAGACTGCGCCAGGGAGCCACAGGGCAGAGAAGGGAAGGGCAGGTGGCGGCGGGCGGAGCGTCTCGGGCGCCCGCAGGAAACGGGGCGGAACAACAACACAGTGGGAGAGGGCAGCGCGGGGCTGCCGCGGAAGGAGGGGAGCATAGAAGGGGGCGGAAGCCGGGTAGCAAGGCAAGGCGACCCAGTGGGCGGACCAGCGCGGCGCGCCAGAGAAGCGCCGAAGAGGGGCAAGGGACAACGAGCGAACGACGCGCGCCCCGCGCAGAGGAGCACATCAGTGGCACAGGAGGCAGCGAGCGAGCGACGCGCGCCCCGCGCGGGAGGTGCGTCGCGAAGGGCGGCGGCGGGGAACACCGAAAGGCACGGCCGGGCAACGGCGCAGGGCGGCCCAGTGGGCGGCGCAGCGCGGCGCAGCAAAGGAGCGCCGAAGTGGCGCATGGGACATCGAGCGAGCGACGCGCGCCCCACGCAGGAGGTGCGTCGCGAGGGGGCGGGGCGGGGGGCACCGACAGGTGCAAAAACTGGGCGCCGACGCTGGGTGACCCAGTGGGCGGCCCAGCGCGGCGCGCCGGAGAAGCGCCGAAGTGCGCAGGGGGCACCGACTGAGCGACGCGCGCTGAACTCGGGAGGCGCGTCGCGGAGGGCGGCGGCGGGGAGCGCCAGAAGGCGCGAAAGCTGGGCAGCGACGCTGGGCGGTCCAGTGGGCGGCCCAGCGTGGCGCATCGCCGAAGCACCGAAGTGGCGCAGGGACAGCGAGCGAGCGACGCGCGCCCCGCACGGGAGGCACGTCGCAAGGAGGAGAGGAGAAGAGGAGGGAAGGCCACTGCAGGAAAGAATGCGTCCACGCGCGCCTGCACGCGTGCAGGCACGTAGGGCGGCGTGCCTGGCAGCGCTTTCGAAGCGCTTCAGGGGAGCCCCGGGAGCTCTCCAGGAAAGATTTCCCGCCCCGTCCCCGAGGGTCTCTTCGCTCTCCGGGTTTTGGACGCCACAAAGCCGCCACTTTCGAGGCCTGCTGGGGGGCCCAGCGCAGTGGGTACTCACGGCGGACTCAAATGGGACCTCGTCATCCCTGGCGGGCTGCGATCTGTGAAACTGTCGCCACTTTCGAGGCCTGCTGGGGGCGACCAGGATCAGGGAGGCGAAAGACCGCCGGAGGGGCCTGTGGGCGCGTCGGCCTCTCAGGGCGGGCAGCGACGGGCAGGGGGCCGCCAGTTGGGCGGGGGGGCGGCAGCGGTCGCGACGAGCGCGGGGGCAGTGAGGCACCTGGGCGGTGGGCCAGCATGGCAGGGCGCCACGGGCGGGAGGCGCGCCGCGCCGGGGTGCGGGCGCGTGGGAAGGGGGGCGGGGGCCCGCCGGCCTGGCGGCGGGGCGGCCGCGCTGTTCGCTGGCCCGCGCAGACGGGCCCCCCTGGGGCAGCGGCGCGCGGGTGGCCAGCACAGGCTCACGCTGGTGAAAGAAGCGGCGGAGGAAGATGGCATCGCGCCGGCCGGGGTGGCGGGCGCCGCCGCCACACTGAACGCAGACCCTACGCCAGGCCGCCCCAGCCCCGCCGCCAGCCTGCAGCGCCCTCCTGGCCCGGGCCACAAGGCCCCCCTTCGAGCCGAGGAAGTCGAGCAGGATGGGGGTTGGGACGTCGTCGGGGCGCGACCGCACCTTGCCCTTCCACCCATAGTCCGAAGCGAACGAGTCCCATTAATCACGGGCGTCTGGCGCCGCGGCCCATGTGCGCTCGACGAGCTGCAGGAGGTTGCGCCGGCCCGCGGGCCCAGGCTGGCGCTGAAGCTGCCCGCGGCGCCGGAACCGCCCGCGTCCGTCATCGCTGGGGAGCAGCGGAGGACATCGGGAGCAGGCGGGGGGTCGACGCGCGGCGGGTCCGCGTTGACCCAGGCGTCGGCGCGAGCAGCTGTCGCGGCGGGCTGCGGTGGCGGAGACCGCGCAACGCCCCGGCTGGCGGGCAGGGGGCGGGCGGGGGCGTCGGAAGGAGCAGCGGACAGGGCGGGGGGGGGGGTCAATAGCTGGGCGCCGGAAGTAGCGCCGAAAGGGCGCCGGGTGCAGGCGCGTCGTGCTCGGCTTCGCAGTCGTCAGCTTGGTTCGCCCAGCCGCGTCCGTCTGGCCGCCCGAAATTAATCGCGATGCTGGGGCCCGTCTGGCTGCTCGCGGTCGTGGTACTAGAGCCTGTCGTACTGCGCGCGGTCGAACTGCTGGGGCCCGTCGTGCTGCTCGCCGTGCTGCTGTTGGGATATGTCCTGCTGCTCGCGATCGCGCTGCGGGGGTCCGTAGTCCTGTTCCCGATGGTGCTGCTGGCTCCTGCAGCTCGCGGCTGCGCTGCTGTGTTCAGCTGTCCGGCCACGGCGACGAGGTTTCTCTAGGAAGGGCAGCGGCGCCAGGTGCGATCGTCGCGACAACGGAGGGGAGAGGACCCCCCTGGTTTCCAGGGCGGACTGGGGGGGGCCACTTCGAGACCGGAGGGCTGTCCAAGTACGGCGTCATCTTCAATGTTCTAGTCTCCGTCGACTGGCCGCCCGTTGTCCGCGCCGGATCCCAGGGGCCAGGGGTTCCACTGCTGGGGGCGCTAGACGGCGGAGAAGGTTTCTCAGCCCTTTCGGCGCCAGCGTGTCATCGCAGCCTTGGACAGGTGGTTCTGGCCTGCCAGACAGCGCCCCTCTTCGCGGCCCAGGCGCGCCGCTGCCGGACGCGGCGGCCCGCGCGCCTCAGGGCGGCGGCCCCCCGTAGCGGGCCCTCGGCGTGGCGACGGGGCTCTGGCCACGTGTGCCACGAAGGGGCCTTCTTGTTTCTGGCGCCGCCGTCGTCGCTCTGTCCAGGAGCGCCGCTGAAAGCGGCGGACGCGGGAGAGATGGGCCCCCCCCCGGGCCCTGGCGAGGCCCAGGGGAGACCCGCTGCAATTCGGACTCCGCCATCTCTACCAGGTTCGGCCCCTGGTTTCTGACGCCGCCAGGGCACCCCGTGCCTCTGAGCACGCTGCCAGGTGGGCAGACATAGCCTCCGACGCGTCGCAACTGAGGGCGCAGCGGAACGCCGCGATAACGGGTGCGAAGCTACCAAGTTCGGCCCGCTGGTCTCGGACGCCGCCGCTGCTGCCCGGTTCAGGGGTGCCGCGGAACGTGGCAAAATCGGGGGAAATGGATGTTCCCTCGGAGCCCTGGTGAGGCTCGGGGGAGGCCCGCTGGTCTCTGACTCCGCCATCGCAGCCAGGTCCGGCCCGCAGGTCTCCGACGCCGCCGCTGCTACCTGGGCCGCGGGAAATGGAGGTTCCATCGGGGCCCTAGCGAGGCTCGGGGGAGACCCGCTGGATCCTGTCGCCGCCATCGCTGCCGCGGCCCACGCCCCTTCCTCACCCCTGGGGGGGCCCGGGGGGCGCCGCGAAATGCGGCGGGAACCGTGAGAGAATCGGCGCCCCGACCTCGGCCGGGCCCGCGCGGGCGCGACGTCGGCGAGGGGGCCGACGCGAACGGGGCCACCCGAACCCCCTTCCCCCCGCCTGCCCGCAGCGCCGCGAAGCGCGGCAGGTGGACAAGAAAACTCAGCGACCCCGCGCGCCAGGCCCACACGGGCGAAACGCGGGGGTGCCCCCCGCGGGAGAAGAGCCGCGTGGAGGTCCCGGAGAAACGGCAGTCGATTCCACGGGGGCCGCGGCGTCGTCCGCGCCCATGGCGAAGACTTGGGCGCTGCCCCCCTTCACCTCCACTTCCGCCTCCTCGGCCTCCGAGTCGACGAACTGCCCCCCCCCATCGTCCGCCACTTCCTGCGCCTCCTCCACCTCCTCGACGCCCTCCTGGTCCTCGACGCCCTCCACCGTCGACTCCGCTTGGCACCCGGGCTGGCCATGGCGGCGCTGCCGGGGTTCCGCAGATGCTGGCGTCGACGCTCTCGGGGGCGCTGTCGAGGACGCAGGCGTCGCCGGAGCGGCTGGCGCGCGCCGCCCTCCCCGCCAGCTGCGACGGCCTTCCCCGCGCCCCGCCCCAAGTCCCTCCCCGCGCCCTCCTCATCATTCTCCGCCGCGCGCGCATCGGCGCACGCCGCGGCGTCGGCGGCCGCGAATTCGGCGGCCAGCGCCAGCCTGGCCGCGGCCAGCCAGAGGCCCGCGCGGGCAGCGGCAACGGCGGCCGCAGCGCAGGCGCCCGCAGCGGCGGCGGCGGCCGCGCCTGGAACGCCGGCGGCGCCGACAGCGCCAACGCCAGCAGCGTCAGCGGCGCCAGCGGCGCAGGGCGCGGGGGCCCACGGGAGGGCGCGGGCCGCGCCGACGCTCCCGAAGGCGTCGGCGGCGCCCGCGCTGCTGGCCGAGGCGGGCGGCCCAAACCGCGCTGGCCGCGCCGACCGCCCGCAGGGCGTTGGCGGCGCTGGCGACGGTGACCGAAGGGGCGCCAGCAGCGCCGGCGGCGTCAGGAGGACGGCGCACTCGGGCCGCGCCGACATGCCCAGGGGCGTCGGCAGCGCCCGGGGCGCCCGCGGGGGCGAGAGGGCGAGCAACCCAACCAGCGCCGACCGCCCAGGGGGCGTCGGCATGGAAGGTCGAGGCGGCGGCGCCAGCAGCGCCGGAAACGCTCGCAGCAGCAAGCACCGCGCCGAGAGCGGCGGCGCCTGTCGCGCCAGCAGCACCAGCCGCGCCAGCGGCGCCAAAGAGCCACAACGGGCCCGCGACGACCCGGGCGCCGGCGGCGGCAGCCAAGCGGCGACCAGCAGCGGCACGGGCCTGCCGCCGTCGCCGCGCCGCCGCGGCCTCCATCATGCCAGGGTGGGAGCACCGCACCTGGCCAGGGGCGTGCTCGAGCCCACACGGCATTGAGCCAAAGGCTTGAGCCAGTGGCTAAGGAAGAGAAAACATGACACACACACACACACAAACACACACACGCACACACACACAAACACACACACTCACACACACACACACACACTTTGAAATTGTACACTCCCCTCTCCTCGTCCCCTTCCTCCGCCTCCTCCTCCTCCTCGAAACCTCCCAGCCCGCATTTTCGACGACTCTGTCGCTGCCAGGTTACCAATCGCCAGGTCCTAGAACTCTCGACGTCTTACCTGGACCAGTTTACAATCCCAGGCAACTTTGGTTGGTCGAGATGTGAAGAACGCCCAGCGCCGAATTCGTCGAATCGCCAGAGTAGCCGGCGGCATCCGAACCCTGCTCCCACCAACCTTCGACTCTCGTGAACCGATGGGAGGCGGGGTCAGGGCTCGGATGTCGCTGCGTGCTCGACGCATTCCGCACCCCACCCCGGCCGCCCATCGAGTTGCCCGAATCGTTGACAGGCGAGGGCAGGGTTCGGATCTCGCCGCCGATCGAGGCTCCTCCCTGACCTTCGCAGCAGGAAGGAGCGGCGGCGGACCGATGACGGCCCCGAGCTCCTGCGCGAAGCAGGGCATCCAATCCTGGCGCCGCGCGCCGCGTCAGTGGAAATGCACAACGTTTTGGGTGCATCCAGGAGGCCATGGCAAAGGGGAAGGAGGATGATCAGGAGGATGACAATAATGAACCCAAAATGCATCATCGATGCTGCAATACACCCTCCCATGCCGAGTCCCCTCCTCGTTAGTCCTTAGAGGCCTCCCCTTTCACTACAGGAGGCCCCTGGTTAAAATACCAGAAACCCATGCCCTATGGGCCTATCATTTCGGCGAGAGCCCCGTTGAAGGAACTGCCTTGCACCCTTCTATCGAAAAGTCTGGAACGCAAAAGTGTATGATCAACAGGTCAAGGTATCACACGAAAACCCCGATTTTGCCAACGAGCCCATAGATGCAACTGTCGCACATGTGTGTGCCCTTCTGGCCATTGACTTCGAGGATGTCTCAAACAAAAAAGCCATTTCGAGAAGGAACCGTCCCCCATCTGTGCTGCTGTTGTAAATGTTCCAACGTATGTCCTGCATGCGAAAACTCAAGCGGAAAATCACCTTTGCAAAGGAACCGTACTCCGTGCGTGTCGCCGCTGTAGGCTATGACGTGAGCCCCATTGTAAAAAGGAGCGCCCTCCATCCTTGAAGCTGCTGCAGCGTTTAGAACGGACGTCCGCGGCGCTGAGGCGAGAGTCCCTCTTTGAAAAGGAGCCGCCCTCCACCCTTGAAGCAGACGCATGCTTTTGAGTTGAGTGTGCGTGAGGCCGAGGCGAGAGCTCCATTTTGAGAACGACCCTCTCCATCCTCGAACCTGCTGTAAAATTTCAGGACGAATGCGCGCGGAGCTGGGGTGAAAGCCCTTCTGTCTAAACGATCTACCCTGCATCCTCGCAGTGGGAGCAAGACAAAATGACACCACTACTACCAAGGCCAAGCAGCGGGAGAAGCCATGGGAGTTGCCCCTGGTGGTGTGGTCCCCCCCCTCTCGCTCCAGACATCCCCCAACTCCAGCTGGGAAAGGCATCGTGGACCTCCTCGCTGGAGGTGCCCCCCCCTGTTGGTGGGGAGGTCGCTACTCCTTCCCCAGGTGCAGCTGCTGCACACGTTTAGGAAGAGCGTGTGCGGCGCCAGGGCGAGAGCCCTATCTCGAACAAAGGAGACCGCCCTCACCGTCTGGGAATTCTCGACTCCACTGCCACTCCTGGACGACACTGGCGCGAATACCGAAAATAAAGAACGGGGTGGGCGTCCTCCCCGGGAACGGGCGTTATCGCGAATCGTTGAATAAACGCACCCGGAATTACCTGCATGCAGAAGGAGATCTGCTCTGGTGCGCAACATTGGGTTGGGGCACGGGGTGCCCTTCTGAGGAGGCGGGGGTGGCGTACAGTCGGCGCGTTGACCTAAGGAAACCTGAATAAAGAACGAGGTCCCTAATTGAACTTCGATTTCCCATCGAAACGTAAGGAAAACCGAAGGCAACCTGTGAAATAGCTAAGGAACAGTGAGCCCATCCCAAACGAAAAGGGTTCCTTCTTCAGCGCCCCGACTGTATTGGAAGGGATCGGAGGCGTCAAAAAGGCCATGCGGGCCTCTGAAACGTCCCCTGCCTTCTGAGCTCCCCCTCGCGCCAAGCCCCCAGCGCGCGGCCGAAAGACGCGGATGGTCGGAGGGAGGAGGGACAAGCATGTTTCGGAAGCTGGGAGAGGGCTGGCAAATCCGTGGCTGCTAAAACGGTCTTCCCGGAAGAACAAAATCAATTCCCGGAATAAAACTCAGCGCGCTAAATAGTAAACGGGCTGCTTCCCGGAAGGAGAACATCACTTCGCGGAGCTCCGTTTTCGCAGCCAGGGGCTTGCCAGCCTTCGCCTGGCTTCTGAATGCTCTACGAAAGAACGAAGTCGTTGTGGCGGGGGGTCCTCTGGCACTGGTCTCAAGAGGATGCCGCAAAACCTGCAAGGCATAGGGGGAGGAAGCGACGTGAGGATCCTGGAAGATTCCAACGTTTGGGGGTCTGTGGAGGACTCTTGGAGAGAAGGAAGAAGCCAACGAGCAAACGAGCGAGGGAACGAGGTGGCGATCCCGCAGGGTGACGGCGGGAGGAGGAAGCAAGCATTCGAGCGAGCGAGCGAGAGGAGAAAGCGAGCGAGCGAGCGAGCTAGAGAGAGCGAGAGAGATGAGGGAGGAGGAAGAAGACCAGTGTGCACCCAAGACCCATCAACGATATTGCAGTAAACCCTCCCTCCAAGTTCCCTCTCTATAGGCCCGTGCAAATATTCAGTTTCACTGAAAGAATACCATCATTGAAAAACAACCGTTTGAAAATTCGGAACTGCACCAGAACACCATTCCTGGATTCCTGGGACTTGAACTTGCGTCTTGACTTCCGAATTGTGCCAGAACGCAGTTGCTGGCACTTCAACACCGAGATTAAACGTAAGTGTTTCGCCCTGGCAATCCGACGTCGTGTCAAAACATCATTTCTGGGACAATCACCATGGAAATCCTGGAATCGGCTGCAAACTCTTAGTATGTGCGCGGCGCCAAACACGAAACCGCATTTTCAAAAGGAACCGCCATCCATCCGTGAAGCTCTTGCAACTGTGCAAAGCGAGGCGAGAACCACATGTTCAAAGGAAACCAGCCTCCATCCGCTGAACTCTTGCAATTGTTCAAGACGGATGTGCGCGGCACTTGCCGAGAGAACAAATACATACGTCCGAGTGGTGACAAATTGAGAGATGTTTGCTCTCGCGGGCTTCCGCCTGAGGAGGCGGCAGCGCTCTGCACACCCCGCATCCTGCCGCCCTCCCGCCGAGGACAAGATGCCAAGCCCTTCGGCCCTTGAAGCCGATGCCCTTTCTGGAGAGCATTTCGTGCCCCCTTCTTGCCTCATCCATCCTTGTAGAGTATCTCATCCGCCCTCCTCTCGGCGGCGAGCCCGGGGGGGAGGTGAGAAGGGGCGGGCCTTATCAGAAGGCTGGGAAGTCCCCCCGGCCTCCTGAGAAGTGTTTCAAGCCTTCCCCGACGACGGGTAAAACCTCTCTCTCAAAGGCGCGAGGGCTTCTGAGAAGCCCCCTTACCGTCTAAGAAAGTATTCTCCTTATCACTTGCCCCCGTCGCTCGCCGCCGATCCTCCTCCTCGTCCTCTTCGCTCCTTCGATTACGAAGCAAACCATCCTCCCTCTTCCCCGCCCTTACCTCTTCTACTCCCTGCGCCTGTTCTGTCAATTCATTATTTCTCTCTCTCTCTCTCGCCATCGTTCGGACGTCCATTCCCCGAGTATCGGTCGACTTCGTGCGTTGCCCTCTCCACAAGACGACTCAAGATGCTCCCCGATGGTCCCTGCCGAGCAAAGATGTCAACGTCCGAGCGCTGCCGAGCTCGCCTCCCCGTGGCTGGTCCTCCTCGTCCCCCCCCTCGCTCTCCAGCCTCGCAGCCGCGCTGGTCAAACACACCGAGAATGCGTCCGCCGCCCGCGAAGAACTGCCGCGACACCGCCGGGGCCGCTGCACAGAGCAGCAATCAGCACGCTGATCCCACGGGTCCACTGGCGACTTCTCCAGACCGGCAGGGAAGGGGTGTCGAAGAAGAACATAATGCCATGAGCATAAACTTCTGGCGCTCCGCGCGGATGTCTTGGATCTGCGCTGGTCCCCCCTCCCTGGCGCGCGGAGCGCGCCAGGGGTGGCGCTGGCGGCGCGCCAGGGAGGGGGGTCCAGCGCAGATCCAAGATATCCGCGCGGAGCGCAACAAATTTATATGTATGCAAAGTGTTATTTTATGGGGGGGCAGGATTACATGTGTACTTCCTACACGTTGCACAAGAAACTGGAGAGAACGAACCAAAAGCAACGGCCTGGCACAATGCTGCGACCGATCGCACGAGCAACCTAGACCGCGGGTGTTCCTGCTCGATCTGTGCTGAAGCGATGAGGGCAACATGACAAGGAGGGGCATTGCCAAGAGCAAGCCGTGTCCCAGCCCCAGGCCATGTCATGGTGGAAGACCCTGAAGTCCCACTCGGAAGCTGCGGCGCAAAAGAAATCCTCTTCTGACGTCCCCCTGCGCCCACCCGGCAAGCAATCAATCTGACTCTCGCATAGTACTAATGATGGCACCACCGCACTAACGACACATGTAAGAATTGCCACCAATTGCTGGCCAAACACGTTGGTGCAATTCTTCACCATCGGTTCCGGCGTCACCCATTTCTTTACAACCCGGCAAACGTTCGCTGCATCGTGTCTGTAGGCTGTCATTCAATTTGAATTGTTGTTAGGTGTCCTTGACAATGAGCTTCCGTGGACGTTCGATGTGGATACACGTGAATAACACCATGTTTGTGTAGTTTGTTCGAAGCTGGGAAATGGCATCCTATGCTTGAGGACGTAGCCAAGCCAAAGCGCCCTGAGCGAAGGTGAATGGAAAACCACAATCCACTGGCATGTACACATCGCGAAATTCCTTTGGCTACAATCAATTGCTGCATGTTCACCGTCGGGATATCCGCCGCAGCGCTTGGTTCGGTTGGTGCGTCGTCCCCTTGTTTTGTTGTTTACTATTGTTTCCTGTGGGGCATTACTGAAGCCCCCCCTCAGACGAATCGAGCCCAACAGCAGCCATTTACCATGTTGACCAAGTCCACTTGTTTTGGGCTTGCCTCGCAGGGCCAATGCCAGAGCCCAAACTTCAGATACATACCGAGTCCCATCGCCTGCCTCTCCCGCCCTCCCCCCCCTCTCCAGCCGCCACCCCCGAGCGCGCCCCGAGCGAAATGGCCTGCACTTCGCAGGTGGAAAGAAACGGCCGGCTCCAGTCGCGAGGACGTTGGTTCCTTAGACGGAGGATCCTTTCGTCGGAACCGATCCTGGCTGCCCCCCTGCCTGGAGGCGCACTTCCCCGCCGTGGCATCGAGCCCGGCCAGTCCCCCTGGCGAGCGCGCCCCATCCAGAGGCGTTGGGAAAGATCGATCCTCGGGCACAAGTGGTATTTTGTACAAGCGCGAAGGAAGCCCTGTGGCACAGAGGGGAAGCAAAAAACAGGGCAGAGCGCGCCAGTGGCCGCCGGGGCGGCGGGGCCTGAAGGCTGGCGCGAACGTGCCGGAGCCCTCACTTGTGGTGCGGTGCATGCTCCCGACGCGGAGGCAGAGGAGGCGGTGAGGGACGAGGAGTGGGGGGCAACTGCACAATCGTAGAGATACTCCCACGTCGAACGATCCGACTCGTACCACCGCAAAGTGAACCTGCCCGTCCAGCGGGCCGCTTCGTGTCAGGTCGCTGGCCACGAGCAGTGGGTAGGAAATGCACAACACCGTGATCAAATTGCACCGCCTGCAGGGAAGGCACCAAATGGAGGACGGCCGACCCGACGGGCCTGACTCAGACCCCCAAGAAGATCGGAACGACCCGGGCTCGAGGCGGCTCCACGACAGACTCAACCGAAGCCCCGTGTGGCCCGAGATCGAGAGCTCTAGACATACCGAGAACAGCCTACAGCGCCTACAGCGGGCCTCACCAGTAGCGCAGCTGTTGTCGACTCCACCGCCGCCGACAGTCGAAGACCAAGGATTCAAGCTTAGAAGCTTCTTTTGGACGGCTCGGGGGCTTCTTTTTGGCGTTCTGGATGGGGCAGACGTCGAATGGGGAAGGTACATTACGCCTCTGACGGCCCCCTGAGATGCAAAAAGCAGCCCGGCATGCTGAACAGGAATCGTGGATTCCGCATCTTACTTCACCACCTCTCTTGGCCCAGGATGCCTTCCATCAAGAGCTGCCTGGAGGTCCCCAAGGCGGCCCCACAAGACATCCCAATATCGGCTCAAGGTTGCTACGTCAAACCTCCACGATTGACCCAAACAGCCAAATAAGTTCCGGCGGTGTGCCCAAGAGGACCCATACTGAAGCACATTAAACCTCCATCCATGCCAGAACACGATTTCCCACGCCAAAATCCAGAGCTCGTAAGTACACGTTCATGCAATCAGAACGAATTACCAACACCCATTCCAAGAATTCACGACGACGCTTCCACGTATCCTGGTGCGGAGAAGAGCGCGGAACGGATGAAAGTGACCATACGGAAACAACTAGAGCTTCTCTGCCGAAAAACCAGAATTGAACATATACCGTGGAAGAAACGAGGCAACCGCGAAACACGACGAATCCAACCGAGACGTTCGAAACTGCGACAAGGAAGGGGGAGTAATCTTACATGCATCGGCAGGCCAACAGTGTGGCCAATACCATGAGCATGCATAGGGGCACCCTAGATGCGGTCCGAGCAGATGGGGTCTGAGGATCTGGCCGCATCGCCGATGCACTGGCGATGCACTGGCGACGTCGGCGATGCATCGGCACCGTCAGAGCTCAGAAGGTCGGGCTAAACATCGAGTCGCATCGTCGATGCATCGGCGTCTGGGAGGCCCAGAGCTCCTCGCGGCGGAGAGCCCGCTGCGCGCCCGGCGGCACCTTCCCCCGCCGCGCCTCTCCGCGAGGACAACCTTTCTCCACGCTGCTCCGTTCACGTGCGCACAGAGAGGTGTCCTAGATGGAGTCCGAGAAGATGGGGTCGAAGGATCGCGCCGCATCACCAATGCATCGCGATGTATCGGCGATGCATCGGCGATGCACCGGCGACGTCGGCGTGGGGAAACACGGGCTCCACATCGAGCCGCCTCGTCGAGGCATCGGCGATGCTGCGCGATCCTCCGACCCCATCTTCGCGGTCCCCATCTAGGAGGCCTAGAGCGCAATGGAAACAAGGTCACAAACGTCAGCACCGCGGGGGTATGACCACGGCGGGGTGGTAAATGTGGCGCAAAGGCCGGGCGGAAGTGGCGGCTGTGTGATCACGCACCGCCTTTGGAAAAGGGTTGACGTTTATCCCAGGCCTCGGCAAACGGACTCAGGAACGAAGTCATCGCCACGAAGAAGGTTGCTCGGCACAGGGTGCCCCGTAAGTAAATGCCAAGCGTGGGAGCCTGGTAGCCCGCACGCGACCACTCCTCGCACGTGTCAACAAAAGCCTGGCCACAGACGACTTTCGCCCTATTCTTCGCCATGAAAGGAAAAAAAACGTCCTGAGGTGAACGGGTGGTGGACACTGGAACTTTCACAGAAACTTAATTGTAAGATGGAACTATGACGAGGATAACATCGGGTGAGGATAAATCCAGAATCTCTGAGATCCAGCGGTTCTGGAAGATGCATCGGGTGCCGCGGCCTTCTCAGAGCGTTCCGGAACGCTCTGAGAGTTCCAGAGCGCTCTGGGAACAAGATGTCCTCGTCATAGCCCCGTGTAAAAATGTCCATCCCGAGCCGATTCTGCTGGACCCCCGTGAGGCCCCGGGAGTGGCCCCGAGAAGCGGAGGACGGCGAGACCCCCCTCAGACACTCCTTCTCCGTGCCGATGCTACGCAGTGGTGCAGTACAGTCGGCCCGTATGCGCGAAAAGGATGCAAGGGCCTTGGACGCCCATTTCGAAGCTATTCGAGGCGGGGCGCGGCCAACGCAGATGGCCAAGTGTGGGCCGAGGTGGCAAGGATGCAAGGGTGCCCTTGGAAAGCTTGCCCATCCTTACCATGCGGGTTGACTGTAACTCGACCACGAGAAACCTTCCACAAGAAACCAAACCCTGAGACCCCAGGACGTCCATGGGTTTCTGGTGCGGGGACGTCACGCTCTCCATAGCAAAACTATCAGAACCTAACGGGCGTTACAAGGGGGGGAGGAGGGCCGGTAACGGCACGATTCGCGCCAGTGGCATCTGGGAATGCTTCGGAAAAGTGTTATGCTGTCACGCCGCCGGCGCTAATCGTGACGCTGCCAGGTGGGGGGGGGGGGGGCGCCGCCGGTGACGGGCGTCATCGCGAATAAACCTAAAAAGAATGGGCTCCAAGAAACCACCGGCACCCTGGAGGCAAGAATAGGAGGGTGTTACTTGGCACGGGTCGCCACTGCACGTGGAGACAGAGCGGCAGCGGGCAGGCGGGAAAAGGTCGGCACGGTGAGCACCGCCACGGCAAGCAGCCCGCGGGAGCGCCGACCCCAGGCGAGAGCGCGGGGCGGCAGCGGCACCGGAGGGAAGAACGGCAACTGCTCACCCCTCGTCCCGATCGTCGTCCCCCTCGTCCTCCTCCTCCTGCCTACTCTCTCCCGCTCCGTCTGTGCCGTCTTCTGAGTATCGTGCAACCGATCCCCATCCCCAGCGGCGTGGCCTGGGCCCCACTGGCCGATGTACCCCCCTAGATGGGGCTATAGGTCGATCCCGTCGGGTTTCGAGGGGCGTATCCACAGCTGGGGCGGTACTTTGGTGGGGGTCTCGGAGGGGGTATGGGGATGGGGGCAATGGAAGTAGGTGAAACGATACTGCTCTTCACCTCCTTCTCTCCCTCGACCGAGAAGGCCTGAGAGCTGGTCGATGCGGAGGTTCAAGTGTGCGTAGGCCATGCCCCGCCAATTCGTTGGTGCCGACGCGGCCTTCACGACGTGCCGGAACCTGTAAAGACGGAGACGGAGAAATCGAGAAAGGGCATCACAAGAAAGACAGTAATGACGGTGCCTCTTGTGTGCATCGACCGTAAGCCATAAGCGAATCACAACAATTATTGGCATTGCTAGCGCAGAATTGCGCTGACAAAATATGCACCATCTTGGGCAAACTTAATTCGTGAGGATGACACGTACAGTGCGAGCATTCAGAGCATGTACACGTCAAAAGTGAAGTAGTTCCAAAATTCACAAACTGCGGTGGAAGCATGGACAACGGAAGTGGCAAACTGTACCAATGAACCGTGCAAAATACAGGCTGACAGGCACTTAATCCCTGACATGCTGACAGGCAATGAACCCCTGCGGTAAGCCATCGACCATCGCGCCCACTATGTTGACGTACACACAGAGGCCAGACTGGCGCGGAACAAGTAGCATGTCCATAGCACCGACACCATATCCCATCTGCGACAAAACACCTGTCCAAATGGTTTGGAATATTTTTGAAGCCTTGATTTGACCCAGCCGCTGCCCTGAGCATGCTCGCAACTGGATCAGTTGATGAGCGTACACGTCCACATCAGAACTTGATGCATTCAAATAGCTTTCCGGGGCCTGTCGACAGCGCGTGTGTCCCGTCTTGCAATTCAATATGCCTGCGCAGTGGAGCATCATGCTAGAGATCTTGCAACGTGCATCACCCTGCATCACCCGAGCGCATGCACGTGTAGGCCGCACTGATACGAACCAGACCTGCAATTTACGATAACAATTCACACCGCTGCAAGATGTGGACTTGGTGCTTTCAACTGCCTCGACTTTGCCCCTCCGTTCTACTGCGATGTCTCAATGCCTCATAGGGTTGTGGAGCACGCCAAGCTCTCCCGCGTCGAGCGAGCGAAAGAACGTTGACAATGTCCAGCAGCGTGCTGTTCTGCGGGCGCGCACCCCCACACAACAGGAACACTTGGAGGAGCGGGGGAAAGGAGTGGAAGGAGCAGGAGGAAGGTGCGAAATGAGAGAAGGATCAAAACGGGGAACAAAGCACTCACCAGAACTGGACATGAGAATTTTCTCCGCCCGTGCTGCTGCCAGAACCGTCGATTTGTCTTGGAAATCCTCTTCAGCTCATCCTTACTCCCCTTCCACCCTCCACCCTCCTCGTTATCCTCGACCTCCCTCTCTTCCCCCCCCCCTCCTCCCTCCTGCACACCCTTCCTGTTCCTGCCAGCTCTTCCCTTCTCATCATCATGCCCCCCTCGTTCTTTCAAGCAGGGTGTAGTAGCGATTAGACGAGCTATCAGTTGTGATCTACTATGTGCTGCGCTGTCCTGCCGCGTTTGTTGATGATCGTGCGGGTGTACCGGCATATCTCCGCGGGTGGTGGCCTGTCGGCCGGACGTTGTTCGTACGATTCGCGCCCCACATCGAGGCCTAGCTGTGCAACTGATCACATTTCAGATGCGATCCTATGTGAAGCACGACGTGGCGCACCAGGACAGTGAAGCACGCAACCAAGAGTGAAACAAGCGTTCGACTGTGAAGCACGATATAGAGATCCGCGGAAGCAGGAGCGAAACAGAGATCCACTGAGTGTGCGATACCGAATGCCATCGCTCAGCCTCGGAGGTGGTTGCATGTCAGCCGCGATGTCTTCCTGTCCTCCGAGCTGCGCATGTCTTTCACATCCCCTTCAGGCCGATTGCCTCTTTTCCATTGTTTTTTCCGCACTGTCGTTTCTAGCATTCCGCGCCTTCTGCCTTCCTCTCGTGTCGCTGCGTTCGGGCGTTACCTGGGACGCAGGGTTGGGCCTCCCTCCGCTGGAGAGGCTGGCGGTCAAAGTAAACGGTGGCCCAGGGAGTGAGAGCCTTCAGCAAGACCGCGCGCAAATTCCTGCAATGCAACGTATCGACCAACCGGCCGTCGCCCCCTCCTCCCTCCTAGTTACCTCCCGTCACCCCCCTCACTCCCTGCTCCTCCTCTTCCTCCTCCCCCTACCTTTCCTCCTCCTCCTCCTCTTCCTCCTCCTCTTCCTGCTCTTCCTCCTCCTCCTCCTCTTCCTCCAAATGCCCTTCCTCCCTCCTCCCCTCCCACCGAGCTCCAGAGCTTACCCCCTCTCCACCCTTTTTTCCCATCCACGGGGCACCCTGCGGCAGAGAGAGGGGGAGGCGAGGGGGGAGGGGGGAGGGGCAACCTGCAACGAATTCATTCATCCGGCGCGCCTGGGCGCGCCGCGAGCCGCAGCCGCAGCGCCTCGCGCGACGCGGCCTCCGCGCCGCCCGCCCAGCCCGAGCACACCCGCCTCCCTCCCCGCCCACCCTCCCGCTCCACCCTCCCAATCCCTCGGCTACACGTAAGAGTGACCCTAGGCAAGAGTGACCTCTGGTGCATGCCCTGGCGGGGGACGCGGGGTGGCGGGACCCGGGGCCGGTGGCCGCTGCTGCAGCTTCGCGCTGCGCGGTGGGGGGACCCCATCGAGCCCGCACCGAAGGTCACTCCGGCGAAAGGTCACTCTTACGCAGAGTCGAATCCCTCCACCCCGCCGGCACGTCGAGGTGCCGGCGGACTCCCCCCTCCGAGCACGGCGGCCACGGGCTCCCGAGGCCCTCCCCTGGCAGCGGCGACGTCGCCGACCCCGCGCGGGCCACGATGGCGCCGCAGATCCCGCGGCCGCCTCCGCTGCCCCACTGGCGCTGCCGGGTGCTGTGCCGTAGGCGTGGGTCGGGCATGTCCCTGTACAGGCATATTTTGGAAGACAAGTGAGAGTGGCCAAAAACATACCCAAACAGAGTCCAAACATAGTCGACAAATCGTCCCCAGACAATTGTTTGACTATGTTTGCATCTTCCTCCTGCAGAGGGACATGCCCGATGTAATTCAGTATGGCCGTAGGCACGGGGGGGCGGTGGCTGCGGGTCTCAGGCCGGGAGCACACGAACTCGTGCTGGTCGCTGGTGCCCGGCAGAAGCGAGCGCCGGCGCGCTGGGACCCCGCCGCAGCGGTGAGAGGCAGGCGCGGTGCAGCGCGGGCAGGCGCAGGATCTTGGCATCGCTCGGGGGATGGGGGAACATGGGGCAGGAAGGTGGAGGAGGAACGAGGAGAAGTGACAGATGAGAATGGATGGGGGGGGAAATGGAAGGGAGCGGAAGGACGAAGAGGATCCAGATGGCGGTGGGAAGACGAAGACGTGGGCAGTTGGCTTGGGTTCCTCGCCCTCCTCCTCCTCCTCCTCCTCCTCCTCCTCCTCCTCTTCCTCCTCCTCCTCCGCCTCCCCCTCCTCCCCCGCCTCCTCCGCCTCTTCCTCCTCCTTGGCTCCCTCACTCCCCGTCGGGGGTGGCGGGGCCGGGGCCTCTGGGTCGCCTAAGTCGACGGGGAGAACGCGTTGCTCGCTGAGGAAGCCGACCATCTGCACCTCTCCGGAGAGGCGGCGGCATGGGGCGCGTGCGAACGTTCGGAAGGCCCCGCCCGACAGCAGAGAGTCGGAGGTGCACGTCTCATTTGGGCCCCTCGTCGTTGTCGTCGTCGTCGTCCTCCTCCTCCAGGAAGTCGAAAAGGGAGGAGGGAGAGAAGGGGGTGGCAGAGTAGCTAATCTGCAAGGAGAGCATGGGGAACAAAGATGAAGGATGCAGAGGGGGGAGCTGAAACTTCTGAGCTCCCGTCTCGCGCTGTGCGAAGCGTGGGGCGCGGCCACTTTGCAATTTGTTTGTTTGTTTTTCTCTCTCTCTCTCTCTCTCTCTCTCTCTCTCTCTCTGCGCGCCGAGGACGAGAACAACTCGTAAAACCAGACTGCGAACCACGATCAACAATCATATATCGCCGTCGTGTGACCTCGATGAGGAAGAAGTGGGGCAGCAAACGGCGCACAGAATTCGACACTCTACACAGTCTGGGGATTATGCAGGCTGTTCTGGGAAGCCCACTGGGCTGCCACCAAGAACGTCCCTCGTTCCACCAAGCATATGTCAAGTAGGAGAACCATTCACGTTCGGGCCGCAATTTACAAAACGGCATCGCAGATAACAAAAAGGAATGGGGGAGGGGGCTGAAGAGTGTCATGTGCGAAGGAATGACACATTCCATACTTGAGCACGCTACATTCAATGGCAATCCAAAGGGTATGACTGGACGGCTTGCGTGGTCGGGAGTGGACGCTAAAAAGTAAGTATGCTCCAAATCGTCCGCCTGCTCGAAGACGGCATTCTGCCTTTGCGCTGTCACAGCGTTGTGAGCCCCCATCGCGTCCTCCTGTTCCTGGTTCTCCTCCTCCTCCTCCACCTCCTCCTCCTCCTCCTGCTCCTCCTCCTCCTCCTCCTCCTCCTCCTCCTCCTCCTCCTCCCCCTCCTCATCATCATCCCAAACCCTTTTGTGCCAGTGCACGCTGACCTTGCTAGTGCTTGTTTGACAAGGTGGTCCGCCCTCCGGGGCAGAGCAGTGCAGGGGGCAGGGGGCCCTCCAGAACCAGGTGCCTCGAGTCCAGGGGCCCCATCCTCCAGACACGGTCGCGCACAAATTCACATACCACGACGGGCCTCGAAAAGGCGTTTCACCCGTCGCTCAAGCCTCCAAACCTCCGCAACAAAACGATGCCTGCGTGCCGCGGCTCGCGTCCGAGCGTGTATCTGCTGAGACACACTGTCCGGCGACAGCTGGTGGCGGCGACAATCGTGAGCAGACAGAAAAGCATCCAGCACTGCAGCAATTAAAAGCAGCACTTTGCGAGGGCGTTCAGTGGTCGGAAGCAGGAAGAAAAAACACGGCGGGGATTCAGAGAAGGGAAGCATCATCTCTCCAGGCCAGCGTTCACATATCCAGTAGAACCGTGAGCAACGTGAGTAATGAGCAATATCGTTTAGGTCAGAGAGAGAGGGGTCGCGAGTATCAACACAAGAATCGAATAGACAGCCGTGAGACTTGGAGTGACATCTGGCAGACGTGTTCAAACCTCTGGATAGTACACGGAAAAAACAGTCCAAGATAGGATCCCGTCTTCCGAATCACAAATTTGTCAGCTTTCGAAACCTTCTCCGTGGCATCCTCAGGAACCTCACCCATCCACCCCTCATCCTAAATCATCAGGTCGATCTTGGCATCATGGGACAAAACCAGGGGAGGCATCAAGCATACGGTAGACGGCGGCCTGAAAGAACTTCCCTTCCTCAGGGATGCCCTTGGGAGACGCCACTAGTATACCGCGAGCACTTCGATATGTAGCCAAATGTGCAGGGGCGAAGCTCGCACTGGCCCAGCCTGACGTAGCGCGAACAATACAAGCGTCGTCACTCACAAACACTTTTTCCAAACCCTCTAAGATATCCAAGATTTCCGAACGCCGCGAAACCAGCCTGAAATTCGTAGCCCAAGACAGCTTCCAGGTCTGTATACTTACCAGGGAATCCCAGGGAGGTCAGGTCTCATAGTAAAAACTGAAACGCGGACCGACAACCAGAAGCTGCATAAAATTCTTATACGCCGCACACGCATCGCGTGAGAGAGGAGCGAACTGCATGACGAAAAACAAAATGCTGAGGCAGAGGGTGTGGAACGCCGGGGTATTCTTAGCGAGCGTGAGGCCAGCCTGGCGCACCTCTCTCACGCGGGGGGCAAACTTGGCAACCGGCTTCCGCCAGTAGCATTCGTGAGCTGAGAAGCCGACCGTCATACCCAGTTACTTACACGAGAGGACGACCTGGATCTGTGTCAGCTCAGGGAGATGCTCGGCGATAAATTGCTTCAGTCGGGCTTGAAACACAGTAGAGCGAACGAGCACCAGGCACTTGTGGATATTCAAAGCCAGGCCAACAGCGGCCTCAAGAGACTGAATCACTCTAAGCCGGTGGCCGAAGTGGGCAATAGTATCACGAATACCATACGAGCAGTCATCAGCACACTCAAGCTTGAGGCTTAGATATTCCCAGCAGTGCTTACTGATGACTTTCTGAAGCGGAACAGTTCCCAAACATAATAGAACCATAGATGCGGGGTCCCCCTGGCGAGCTCCTCTAGCAACATCAATCATAGCATAGACCTTGCCCATTATAGAGGTTAAGGCTGTGCTATCAAAATGAAGCGTACGGTAAACATGCACAATAAATCCCGGGACCCCCATCGCTTCCAAGACCGCCACAAACTAGTCGGCCGAGATCGAGGGGAGGGCGGCCGAGTAGTCCGTCAGGACCAGCGAGCTATCTTCCTTGTCTAAGACATGCTCCGAGAGCGCCGAAGACTCAGCACGCACAATATGCGCAGCCATGCCACGGTCAGAGACAGAAGCTTGCGAAAGAGAGACCACATGCTGGGTGGCCTCGTTCAATCGACGGCACATGCACGAACTCAGGAGCTTGGCGTCTGTGTTCGACATGGAAAGTCGGCGCGTATTTTCAGGAGTCCTGAAGACATGGGTCCCAGCATCATCTTTCGAGACCCCCTTCGACAGGAAAACCATAAGAACCTCCAACATGTCCCGAAGAAGAGATTCAATCTGACCAGATACCAGGTGTCGATAAAACATCGAAGAGTACACGAGGGGCATGTCCAAGGCGCCAACAATAGTAAGGAATCCCATCAGGCCCAGGCATAGTATGCTTTCGAATATTTACAGTGTCCCCGAAGAACGTCTCATAGTCCACTTCCCAAGACACATTCGCTCCTATGGGCACCTGTTGGACAAACGACAGTAACTCTGGCCACCTAGAGCGGTCCTCTTGCACCTCACAGAAGACCTCTCCCCAGTGGAGCCTCAGGGCCTCGACGGAGGCTTCGGGGGTAGGGTAAGGAATGATACTTTCGTCAACCAATCCTTGAAGCCAAGTGCGACGACGGAACTGCTGCCAAAAACTTCGGCGACGGGCAATATTGTTCTCTTCCTTCTGCCGCTGAAAATCATCAGGAGGAAGACTCTCCAGCTCCATCGTCGCCGCATCAAGAAGCTTCATATACAATTCGCGAACATGCTGGCAGAGAGGGAGCCTATCAGCACATGATCTGTTCCCTCCCTCATCCCAAACCCCCTTTCTGGTTGTCCTCCTCCTCCTCCTCCTCCTCCTCCTCCTCCCCTTCCTTATCCATCCACGTGCAACACAGCGCTGGTGTACACCACAAGGCTTGCGTGCACAGGACAGGTAGAAGGAACATGTCGGTCAAGATCTGCGGACACCCAAACACCCTCCTCCTTCCTCCTCGTTCTCTTCCTCCTCCTCCTTGTCCCTCCCCCCCGTCGTGTGGGTCGGCGCTACAGCGCACGAGCGCATCTCAGTGCGCATCCCGGAAATATGGTCTATTGAATATGTCCACTTGGTTTTCGGACGGCCAACCCTGCGGTAGCCTTCTGGACGCAGACGGGAGGAGTTGGGTTGATGCGGGAGGGTTCTGGAAGGCTCGTCGACTCCAGAGGCGTTTGTTTCTATAAGATTTCTGTTTCCAACATCCTATATGTAAGCATTGGTTTCCTGTGGAAGCCCCAGGCGCTCCATTGTGTCATCAGAATTATGTTGACAATTATATATACAATACTGGTGTACTGTTGCGCACGGTTGATGTGGTAAACACAAGCGCCGTGGTGTACACAGGCGCTGTGGTGCATGCAAGCACTGTGATGTACACTGGTGCTTTGTTGCGCACGGCTGCTGTGGTTTACGCAGGCGCCGTGGTGTACACAAAAGCTGCGGCGCATGCAGTCACAGTGGTGCACTTTGGCGATGTGTTGCGCGCGGCTGCTGTGGTGTCTTTAAGCGCTGTGGTGTACCCAATCGCTATGGTGCACGCAGGCACTGAGGTTCACACAGGCGCTGTGGTGCAAATTGCCACCTACATGCCGTTCCTACGCGTCCTCGGCCATTCCTAGGCATTCCAAAACGCCGCCAGCGCGAAACTTGAAGTCACGGGCCCCCTTCCTCCTTCCCCCCAGATGATGGGAAACAGGCTCCAAAGTTCGTGTCCAAAAAGAGAACTACCCGGCTGGGGGATAAACGTGTCCAAATCCTGTCGCGTGCCAGAACACAATTCTGCAGAACGCCAACGCTACGAATTAACCTGACGGTTGCGTCTTAAGCAACTCTTGACCACCATGCCTGGGACTTCAACACACAGAATCTACCTAACTGCTGTTCCCTGACAATCCCGGAGCGTTAACAGTGAACCGTCTTCAACCCGCGAATCTCTTGCAACTGTTTAACACGAGCGTTCGCGACATGAAGGCGGGAACCACAAGTTGAAAAGAAACCACCCTCAATCCGTGAAGCTCTTGCAAATTGCTTAAGCATGTGTGCGCGGCGCGAAAGGCGAGAACCACATGTTGAAAACGACCTGCCTTGAATCCGTGGAACTCTTGACTTGTGTCAAAAGGATGTGCACGGCGCCAGGGCGAGAAACACATGTTCAAAAGACGCCTTCAATCCGTGAAGCCCTTGCAAATGTGTCAAACGAACGTGAGCGGCGAAGCGAAAGCCACAGTTTGAAAACCACACGCACTCCATAGGCGAACCCGCTGCCAACTTTTAAGCTTGAGGATGATACATGGTGCAGAAATCCGCCGATCCGTCGTGGGAGCTACAGGGAGCCTCAGCAAGATCTTCAGCTCTGAGCCTAAGCAAGAGCTTCAGCTCTGCTTGGGGGGGATCGCAGGGGTGGCTCTGCCGCGGAAGTGGGGAGGGGGGGCGGTTCCCCATTGGGCGTTTTCCTGATGGTTTGCGCATCCCCAAGATGTGTCGGGGGGTCCCAGGGACCCCCCTCAGATCTAGCCGCTACCGCCCCCAAGACCCTCCCTTCGGAACCCTCCCCGGAATCTCCCCGGGACCTCTCCAGGCACCCCCCCAGAGGGAACGAGGACGAGCGAGGACGGAGAGGGAGACGATCACGCGACGCAATGGGGTCAGCGGGAGGCATGGGATAACAAGAACTAGGGATAAGAAAGAGGACCAGAAGAATCGAGGAAGGAGGAGGCCACAGAGCCGCGAAGATCACCGAATCCGGAGCCCCCTGGATCGGCGGTACTGGCCAGAAGCCATTACAATCTCAATCGAAACGCCCGGCCCGCCCTTTCGACCCGTCTCGGGGTGCGACAAGAAAGAGTTATTCATAAGGAAACCGAATTCAGGCGCGGGGCGGAGGAGATTGACCCTCCCCTTTTCCACTTCTGCAAGACTGAGAAGGTGAATGATTAGGGAGGGGAGGAGGAGGATGCGGAGAAGAGAAGATGAGCACTTTGCTTGAACTAAGGAAATGGTCGGGGCCCTATTCCGATCGCCAGATCTACACGGAGCAAACTGAACAGAGAGCAGAGGTCACGGGAAGGATTGCAACGCATCTTCGCTGCGATTTCGAATGGGCCAACGAAGAATGTATGATTCATTTACCCGTTCCCATACCCCCTATCCGTCCCAGAATCAACGACACCGCACAATGATGCCGATACAGCGCCAAAACAGTTCACACAATGATTCCCCATCCTGGTCTTCCTCCTCTCCTTTGTGAAATATATAAATATGTATGTATATATTATCTCTGTCTCTCTCTCTCTCTCAATCTACCTCTCTCTCTCTCTCCCTCTACCTCTCCCGCTATCTCTCCCTCTCTCGCTCTCTCTCTTTCTATCTCTCCCTCCTGTTCTTGGAGGCTTGCAACACCACGGGGACAAGCAGAGGTCAACGCGTCGACCAGAGACGTCGGGCCCCCAAAGCTCCTGAATTCACAGTGGACCTCGGGAAAACCAAAGCGAAGAACTGCCAGGAGGAAAGAGAGGGACAGAGTGGGAGGAATTGACCTCTCCTCCTAGCTCCTCCTCAGCATCATCATCCCTCCTCCTCACTCCCTCCACTCTCCTCCTCCTCCTGCCACCTCCATCAGCCCAGGCAGAAGAGGCCGTCCCCGTGACCTCACCCAGCGCACGCCCAAGCCACCAACCCGACACAATCCTCCCTACTCATTACCCTCTCCCTCTCGCGCGCCGCCTCCTCACACCTCCCCTTCCTCCCTCATCTTCCTCCCAAAGAAGACCCTGGCCCGCGCCCATGCCTGCGTTGCATCAACCCTCCCCACTCTCCCACCTGTCCCCCCTCTCCGTTTCCACCCCGCTCATTTGAAGTTCCAGGTCGGCTATGACACGCATCCACGCTGGAGCCAATGTTTGCATTATTCGCGATCACCGCGATCACGCCTGTGACTGGTCCTGCCCCCCCCCTTCCCCCCCTGGTCACGTCACCATTCGCGCTGGCGCCGTGTGGGAGTGAACCATTCCTAAGCGTTTCCAGTCGGCGCAGGCGCGAATCGTGACGTGACTGGACCTCCCCCATCCCCGCTCCTGGTCACGCCCGACATCGCCTGGGGGAAAAAACAATCTAATCCACTATCCACATCCCCCTCCCGCGCGAAGCCAGGCTCCGATCCCGGGAAAACCAAACAGTACCCATACCGCTACTCCCCGGACCTCTCCCGGGTTGCATTCTGACCCGGATTTCAAGAAGAATCCAGCGGTGGCGACGAAGCACTACCAGGAAGCCCAAGAGGGGCAAACGGGCGAAGTGTGGCGGTATGAATACCTTATCCTCCTCTGAGGCCCCCGCTCCTCCTTTAGGGAAACAACATGAGGTACATATTAAAACAGCGCGGAGGTCCGCGCGAATTTCTCGGATCCGCGCTGGACCCCCCTCCCTGGCGCGCGCAGCCTGCCAGGGGCTCCAGCGCGGATCCGAGAAATCCGCGAGGACCTCAGAATTAATGCGTTCATGTCATTCTTCAGTCCCCTAACCTTGGCCCCGCTCCCCCCCCCCGTGCGCTCTCCACCTCCAGGGGGAGCGGGCTGCCCCGTGCCAGGGCCGCAGCGCACCGGGGGGCGCCTCTCCGGGGCCGTCCCGGCAGCCGACCTCTCTCTCCCGCGAGGGGGGGGGGGGAGGAGCGGGGAGGACGCGCGAGCGCGAGGCAGGGAGAGGCGGTACGTCGAGCGGAAGGAAGGCAGGAAGGCAGGGAGAGGCGGTACGTGCTGAGGTTTCGCCCAATGCCTTTTCCGAGGGTGCCTCGTGGGCGCCTCGTGCGCTAGGTGGGTTGTGCCGAGGTTTCGCTTGGTGCCCGCCCGTGGGCGCCTCGTGGGTGCGCTGGGTGGGTCAGCCGAGGCGCGAGCGGAAGGAAGGCAGAAGGCAGGGAGGGGGATGGGGATTACGTCAGGTTCGTGTCGTGCCGATTTCGGCGTTGGCTTCTGACAACGCGGGGATCGTTCAACCTCGAACGATCGGCCGTCTCCGAGACGACCAAATCGTTCCACATCGAACGATTCTGGGTCGCCCGCGGCGTTCAACGTTGAACGCCGCTGGCGGGGTCGCCGCTGGTCGACACGACACGAACCTACCGTATCACAGCTTAGGGGGGAAGGCAATGGGCTGGTCGATCAGACCCAATACGTCAAGCTCCGATGGCCACAACATCGTCTGCGTCACTCTCTGGCTCGTGCTCATGCTCTCCGCGCTGAACCTTCCACTGATGAGTCGGGCGGAGGGGATGGGATGGCAGAAGGTGGTGGGGGAGGGGGAGGGGGAGGGGGAGGGGGATGAGGAGGGGGAAGGGAAGGGGTATGGAGGGGTAGGAGGAGGAGGAGGAGGACGAGGAAGGAGGAGGAGGAGGAGGAGGAGGAGGAGGAGGACCAGTGCAAAGACAACGCGCATCCACAATGCTACGGTACACCCTCCCTCGAAGTTCTCTCTTCGTGGCCCCCTACGAACATTTAAATGAATTGCGAAGATTACCCCATTCATTGGAAGACAGCCGCTATCCTGGCAGTCTTGAATCATGCCAGAACACCACGCCTGAGCCCAAAACAACGAATCAACGTCGCTGCTGCCTCCTGACATTCCTAAATCGTGCCAGAAAACCGTTCTGGGGGCTTCAACCGTACGAATCCTTCAAACCGCTGCACACCTTTCGAGCGAATGTGCGCGACGCTGAAGCGAGAGCCAGATTTTGATAAAGGCCCGCCCTCCACCGCTGAAGCTGCTGCAAACCTAAACAATCACTCAAACGGAGCTCCAAGAAGGCCTCGGTTGAACAAATCGAAGCCACTTGCGGGCGCCAGCGCCGAGGCGACAACGGGGCCGCCTCGGCCCCGCGACGGTGCTCGTCACTTGGGCGCGGAAGAGGCCAGAGACCGCTCAGCGCGGCTGTGCGGCGCTGGTAGCGAGACAAGTGCGAGGTCTCGACGGAGCCGCGGAGGGCGAACTCATCGAACAAAACACTATCTGCAGAAAGTCGGGACATGGAGTTGACCTTGCCTCCACTGCTGCGGATCTGTGTCTGATGATGCAGAGCATGAAATCCCGCTTGTGGTAGTGGCGATAATGGTGATCTCGCGATGGCGATGGTGATTACATTGGTTTGTTTCTGCGGTGTGAGGTCTTGATGGCGGTGCTGGTGACTGTTGGTGGCGGTGCTGGTGGTGGCGTTGGCTGCGGTGATGAGCGGGGATGGCGATTCCTTTGAATCGCAAGCTACTGCTCGCTACAAATGCACGCGGTGACACCCATGGTCGCCGGATGGCCACGGACAGGGGAATCGAATTACAGTTGTAACGGCTCTTCCCGAACACCTGAGCGCCCATCGATCCGAATCCGCGAACCGCCCCACGTGGAGGCCCCGGCGGCGGCTCCAATGGACCATTGGATTGTTCGTCGGATTCTCCGGTGAAGTATTGGCCAGATTTTCTCGTTAGAGGAAGAGCTGCATAAACGTGGACTTTCGACGGCCCGCGGGGATTTCTTGCATGCATCTACGCTGGACCCCCCTCCCTTGCGCGCGCAGCCCGCAGGGGGCGGCGCCGGAGGCGCCGCCAGGGGGGTCCGGCGCGGATCCACGAAATCCGCGCGGAGCTCCAGAAGTTGATGTTTCTGCCGTATGTTTTTCTTCGACTCGTGCAGTTTCCGCCGAAATTCCTCGCGGCACACCCGCCGGCGTGTCTGGCCAGTGAACTCTCTGGTGAGGCTTGTTTCAACTGGGATCGTGGCTAAAAAAATATCCACGAGAAACTTCGCTGAACACTTCGCTGCCTCCGCCCGCTTCCCCGTGGTCCCTCGGGCGCTCGGCGCCACCCTTCGGTGGCGACGGACCCCGGGTCGGCAGGCGGGCGGGGCTGCGGGGCAGGAGGCCCGACAGCGCCCGACGGCGGTACCCGACGGAACCCAACGGGGCCCTTCGGGCCCGACGAATCCCGGCGGAGCCCAGCGAGGCCCGAACCGCTCTGCACGGCCCCGCGGGGCCCACGGGATCCCGACGGAGCCCTCCGAGCCCGGCAATGCCAGGAAGACGGGCTCGCGCAGGCCTGCCCCGCAGGCCCTGGCGGACGGAACCCGGGGAACGCCCGACGGAGCCCGGCGGGGCCCCGCGCCGCCCCGCTGGGCCCGTCGGGATGCGGCGACGACAGGCACTCCAGAGAACTCCGACGGGGCCCGAGAGGCCTACTCCAAATCCCTTATTCATCGTCCCCCGGGTCCAGTTTTTTAGGGCGCCTTTGTTGTTACTGGGAGGGTCCGGTTTATCAGGGCGCTTTCTTTGGATTGGAGCTTAGGGGGTCTGGTTTATCAAGGCGCCCCGTCGCAAAAGGGGGCCCGGAATATTAGGTCGCATTTGGAGGGGGGTCCAGTTTTTTAGGGGGGGTCGATTAATAAGGGATTTAGAGTAGATAGATTAGAGATCGGGGCCCCGACAGCAATGTAGACTGCAGAATACGTCGCAGAGCGATCACCGAATGGCGCAGGTGCTGCATCCACAGGCGGCGTCATCGCGCACTGCACCCGACCCCGTGAGCGCGCTCGTGCGTCACCCTGTCCAGACAAATAACCCTACCGCCCCTCCGCGTGCGCAGCGCTGCATCCCGACTGACCGAAAAGAGCTCGCCCCCGACGATCAATAACAAATACGATGGGCAGCATGTTTTTTGTTCAATCAGGGAGCCCTGCAAAGTGAAAACCGAATGTGCTCAACGCTGAGGCGAGAACCAAATTTTGAAAACTGCCCGCCCTACATCCGTAGAACTGATTTCGTGCTTCACGATCCTGGATGGTGAAGCGGTCTCGGGCGAAACGCCCGGCCCACCCTGCCAACACGCCTGGGGGTGCGGCAGGGAAGACCTATCTAGCAGAAACGGGATGGAGGAGGAGGGCGACGAGGGAGACAGGATAACCCAGAATCGAATCGATAAAGTCGGATCGGCGATCGAAACGAAACGGTTTGGCAGAAATCGGGAACCGAGTCGGTAGAAATCGAATTGGCGAACATCGGAAGGCCAGGCCTCCACTGAGAATCGAAATCGTAATCGGAAACCATCGAAGCCGAATCGAATCGAAACGGAGGAGTCGAGATGAGCCCTAGGGAGGGGAGGGAGGGGGGGGGAGGACGGGGAGGACGATCGAGAAGGGAGAGAGGACGGGGAGGTCGGCAAGAGCGAGGCGGGAGGACCAGGAGAGGCACAGCAGGGAGGACGAGCGAGCCCTGGCGCCGAGTAGGCCCCAGCGCCGGCTGGGCGCGGTCCGCTAGCATTACGCACGCATCTGGAACAGTGTCTGATAGACGGCCATGCGCTCGTGCGAAATCCCATCGTGCATCCGCAAATATGGCGCATGCGTCTGCAGAAGACCATGGGCTCGTGTGAACGTGCTCTTGGAGTCGTCAAACATCGACCCAGGCATGTGCAGCAGTGTCTGTCGGACGTTGGCGAACTAGTCTGAAACTCCATTTCGCCGATACGAATGTTTGGCCACAAGTCAAATCCTGCACCCTGTTGCACATTCCCAATTGCGTGTTCCCAGTCCACAGGGTGGACACTCGCTCGGCTTTGCCTTTGTTTGAAGAGAGGGCCAAACGATACTGCCGCTTCGACATCAATTTAAACATGCTCGCCTTGTGATCTCGACGAAGTCCCGCACGACTTCGCCGTGTCGTCCTTGAGCTGAAGATGTCCGATATCTGTTTGAAGTCTCAAGCGGAATCGCGGCTTGGGCTACTGACGGCAAACATTGGTCTTGCTCGAAATGTCTTTGGTCGAACGGACCTCTGACGATATCTATACCTCGACCTGGGCAACCCAATTGGCAATCACATGCATACATTCACTGACCTTGAAAAGCAAAAGTGTGATTGCCGATAGGAGCTTCCCACTAGAAAAGACAGCTTTCACCTTAGACAGGAATTGCCCTGTTCGACATCGAAACGGCAATTATGGTTATGACTTCCCCGAGAACGCGATGTCGACCGAGGCAGAACGCTCTGGGGGTAGGCGACCGAGCTGCATGCAACAAAAAGCAATGCGCACCGCGACAACACCGCACCGCGGCCAGGTCCAAATTTCTGCATCAGCGAAGTAGCGCAAGCACTGTTAAAGGGACTTGGTTTGAAAACACGCCCCCTCCCCCCGAGCAAATGCTAAGAACACGGCCACTTCTGATTCCGAATGGTTGAAACACGTCGTTGAAGAACGTTGTGTAAGAACTATATCCTCCATCGTGCCGTGTTACATCATGGCGTGTCTGCTCATACTGCGTGGTGAAGTCTCAACGCCCGGCCCGCTCTACCGGCGCGCCTGGTGATCGACGAATGGCCTCGCCTTGCCCCTGCAAGGCACTGCCTGATCTCTTCCGGCGGCCGATAGTTGTTCACGAGGAATGGCAGAGAATGCCCGAGCCAGGAGCCAGGGGCGAGCGAACACATCATCCCTTCGCGCAGCTGTATACCTGGACGCCCGCACTTCCGTTTCTCCAGAGGCTCCCGCACACATAAAGGTCCCGAGTCAAGGGGACTCGTAGGCAATTGTATTAAGTAAATGCAGGGGCACAAGGACACGGTGATACCCCTCATTCCGCAGGGTCGACCCCAGAGTGCCTCCGATCGGCACAATCTGGATGGCACGATTTGATCTCACCCCCGCTGGGTCAGTCCCAACATATCTCAGCATACGTGCTTTACACGTACAACGTCTCGGGGGAACTCAAAATTTGGAGTCCCGAAACGGCTGCTCAGACGGTGCGGTGACAGACCGTGCGGTGACCTCGAAATCCCCCAAGACCTCACCGCACGGTCCGTCATCGCACGGTTTTGGGACCTCGGATGCCCCAGTCGCCCGAGACACCCTTGGAGAACGACCCGAGTCCCAAAACCGTGCGGTGACCCCGAATCCCCACCGACTCACCGCACGGTGTGGTCACCACCCCGTCTGGGGGCCCCCGACATAAAGTACCGATACCGCTACTCCCCGGACCTCTACTGGGGTGCGTTCTGACCATGATTTCGAGGCGAATCTAGCGGTGGCGACGACGGAGGCCCAGGAGGCCCCAAAAAAGAAAAACGAGGGGAGGGTAGAGGTATAGGTACCGTTTCCTCTGAACCTCATGTTGCCAGAAGCGGCTCGCGACTGCCAAGCCACGAGTGCTCAAACACATCCCGATCCCCCTGACCTTGAGCATCAACGTAATACGCCGCTCCTCGGGGAAGAGCCGGAACCTTAGTCATGCGCGGATGCCACGAGAAGCATTGCCCAGAATACCTATACTTCCCCGTGCTCGCCGTGGCCGAACTCTCTCTGGCTGTGTCGGGAACGATCTGTCTATCGTTGCAAACTCTGGGTGGATGCAAGGCCACACAAACCAAACGTCCGATCTCAGACAGCGATGTCGGAACGCGGTGTGCGAAGGGCGGTCCTGTAAACATAGTCGATGGTGATGTCTTGTTCTCAAACCCGCATTCGTTCCCATCCTCTTTATTCCCCGCCGCATCATCATCAAAATCATAATCATAATCATAATCATAATCATAATGATGATGATCATGATCATCATTATCATCATCATCGTCGTCGTCATCATCACCACCATCACCATCACAATAACCATCAAAATCACCATCACCATCACCATCACCATCATCATCACCATCATCATAGCCATCAATGTCACCATCACCATCACCATGACCATGACCATCATGATCATACTTATCATAATCGTCAACATCATACGCATCATCATCCTAATCATCATCATAATCGTCCGCAATCGTCAGCATCATACGCAGTATCATCATCGTCATCATCATTATCACCAGCATACCAGAGACACCATCATGATCGGCATCGACGACGTCGTCGTCGCAGTCGTCGCCATCATCATCAGCATCATCATCAGTATCGTCATCATCGTCCTCAGCATCATCATTATCATCATCATCATCGGCATTACCATCGTCATTGTCATCATCATCAGCCTCACCAGTATTAGCATTAGCATCAGCATCAGCAACAACATCAGCATCGGCATCAACCTCAACATCATCAGCATCATCTTCATCATCCTCAACATCACCACCACCACCACCACCATCATCATCATCATCATCATCATCATCATCATCATGATGATGATGATCATGATCATGATCATCATCATGATCATCATCATCATCATCGTCGTCGTCGTCGTCGTCATCATCAATATCACCGTCAGTGACTCCCCTTTGGTGTTTGAGTGATTTTCGCATTGTCGCGTTGTCGGGCTCACGTCAGCTCAAGATGGCCCCAGATGCCTCCACGATGGCTCCAAGACGACCCAGGAGGCCCCCACGAGGGCCCCCAAATTGCCCAAGAGGCCCCAGGATGGCCCACGAAACAACGGCCCCAAGACGGCCCAAGAGGGCCTCCCGTGGGACCCAAGACACCTTATAAGGCTTTTCGACGGCACAAGACGGCCCAACGACGGCCCCCAGACGCCCACCACACGGCCAAGAGGGCCCCAAGACAGCCCAACAGAGTCCCAAGAAGGCGTAAGAGGGTCCCAGCACGGCCCAAGAGAGCTCCAAACGATCCCCACGACTGCTTCACAAGAGGCCAAGGTAGCCCTAAGACGCCCCAAACGAGTTCCATAAAAGCCCCTCAAATGATAAAGACGAAAGGTGCCCCATGTGACGGTCTTCCTCTTCTAGCTGTTCTTTCTCCTCCTCCTCCTCCTCCTCGTCCTCCTCCTGTTCCTCTTCCTCCTCCTCGTCCTCCTCGTCCTCCTCGTCCTCCTCCTCCTCCTCCTCCTCATCCGTCATCCTCAGTGACTCCTCAGGAGCCTCCCAAAGGGTCCGGAACCCAAGCTTCTCAAACCTCCCGGGGCTTGGCGCGAGCCCCCTGGGCCCCGGGAAGCGTTATCGCACGACTCTCTCGGGCCCAGGAGGGCCCCGAGACCGGCCCAGAGGGCCTGCCGAAAGATCGCCCCAATACGCGAAGCCCCCAAGGCACCCCAGGAGTGTGGTCCAAGAGGCGTCCCAAGAGGGCCCCAAGACGCAACAATCACTGATGTTCCTTAGGTTTTTGAACGTTGTCGGCCTTCTCGCCTTTTCGGCTTCCCGCCGCTCCAGGGCGGCCCGAGAGGCCTCAAATACTGATCCCTGACGACCCAAGAGGCCCCAAAGAGGGCCCCAAGACGGCTCCGAGGGCCCCAAGACGGCCCAAGAGGCGCCCAAGACGGCACAAAAGAGCCCAAAGACGGCCTCAAGAGGGGGTCAAGATGGGGAACCCGAACGGATATTTTGAGCCCTTGGCCCCGAGGGGCCCCCAGGAGGCCCCAAGAGGCCCGAATGGGCCCCCAACAGGCACCCCAGATGCCCCGAAGAGGCCCCCAAGAGGCTCCGAAGCGGCCCCAGAGCTGCTCCCAAGAAGCCCCCGAGATCGCTCCGAAGAGACCCGAAGAAGCATCCCTGAGAACTCTGACCCACAACCCAAGCTATTTGATACATAACTCCTCCCTGTCCCCCCAGAGGCGTGTCGGTACGGCGGGCCGGGCGTTTCGCCTGCGATTTCCTCCCCATGTATAATCCTTAAGTTGAGAATGTACAAAAAGGGCCTCACAGATGGAGGGCGGCCCGCTTTCAAAACGCTACTCACTCGCTTTAAACATGTTCGAGAGCTTCACGGATGGAGGACGGGCCACTTTCAAAATGCGGCTCTCGCCTTAGCATCGCGCACATTCGCGTTTAATATTTGCAGGAACTTCACGGTTGGAGGGCGGCTCCTGTCCAACATGTGGCTTTCGCCTCAGCGCCGCGCAGATCCTTTTGAAGAGCTTACAGCAGTTTGGAATATCATCATGGTTACCGTCTCAGGAGTAATGTCTTGGCACGATGTCAGACTGTCAGGGAGCGCAACACTTACGCACATTCGCGGAATTCAAGTCTCAGGAATGGTGTTCTGGCGCGGTTCAGGATCGTCAAGACGAACAAGTAACGATGATTCGCTGCGTTTAAGTCCCAGGGAGGGTGTTATGGCACAGTTCACGGTTTTCAAACGGTTGTCTTCCACCGGTGCACTTCCCTCAGTAACATCAAATTCTTGCATGGTGCCTACGATGAGGGAATTTGGAGGGAGGATGCTTTGAAGATGTTGCATCGTTGTTGAGTCTGGGGTTTACACTGGTCCCCTCATTCCCATCATCATCATCATCATCATCATCATCATCATCATCATCATCATCATCATCATCGTCATCATCATCATCATCATCATCATCATCATCAGCATCATCATCATCATCATCAGCATCGGCATCATCATCATTATCGTCAGTATAAGCAGCATCATCAGCATTATCAGCAACATCATCACCATCACCAACATCAGCATTATCATCAGCATCATCATCAACAAGATCACCACCAGCATCATCCTCATCACGGCCCTCCCACTCTCGAACAGTCGCCACCCCAAATGCTGGGTTGGCACGGTGGCGGAACTTGCCGCAAGCAACTGGATCATAAACACATTCTCCCCCGCTCGACCGGCCGCCAACCAATAACCATGCACAGCAAAATCTAGATCGTGAGTGGGACCCCCCCGAGCACTTCGAAGTTGCTTTTGACAATGGTGGCGGAAGGTGAAGATCAGACTGAGGGGTGCCGAAGGGTCCTACAGTTTTGGAGCGGGGCGCGGCCAGAGAAAGTGACCAAGGATGGGCCGAAGGGGAAGGATGCAAGGGAAATCTTGGAAAGTCGCTCACCCTTGCTATCAGTATTGACAGTACACTTCCCTGGATGCGTGACTGAGTTGGAATTCCGCTGTGATGATTCTATTTGTTCGTCGTCCCCACATATGAGCCGCCCGCCACCCGCTTTTCGCCCGAGATCCATCCGCGAACCACATGCGCCTCATCGCGTACCACCCGCGCCGCGACCCGCCCGCAAGACACCCGCGACTCTCCCGTGACCCATCTACGATCCACCCCTACTGCTTTGACCAAAACTGGCGACTGCGGCGCGCTCGTTGTATGTGGCCATATTGCTTTGACCAAAAACTCGCGACTGCAGCGGGCTCGCTGTATGTGGCTGACATGGGGAAGAAAGCTTCGTTAAATGTTCGCTCGAGCCCCGCCGACTGCCGACGATCCCCCGCCCCTCCACTCATATCAGCAACTGCGGAAGCTATGGTATTTGTCAGCAGTGCTCTGTTTTCAACATCCTAGCCACAATCAAACACAAACTAATCGTGGGTGCACGCGCCGTGCACCGTGCTTTCCACCCCGCCGCCGCGGAGGGTCACCGCCCCGACATGCGCCTCGACGTGCAATGGCGCACCTGGCGCTCTCTGTGTACTTTGCGCACGTGGCGCACTTGGCGCGACTGGAGCAAATGGCGCACTTTGCGCACGTGGCGCATCTGGCGCACCATGCGCACCCGGCACGCTTGGGCACCCGGCACACGTGGCGCACCTCGCGAGAGTCGCACACCTGGCGTTCCTGCTTGTTCCAAGCTTTGATGTCCATCCGATGGCAACCTCCACCTGGGACCCAGGCTGAGCCCAGGGTGCCAACTTAGATGGTGTGTGGAGACGGGGGATCGGCGTGGAAATGAGCGAGACAACCTGCTCGGGAGCTTGGCTCCTCCCCACCCCCCCCCACCCGGGTCTGGACGGGGTGGAGGGCCGCGCGCGGTCAGAACGTCCAAGATGGCTACAGTGTGACGTCATGTAGCTCATGACGGCCCTTCAATATGGCAAGATAGTTCAAGATACATCAATATGGCATTCAACATGCCTGCACGAGGCTCCCAAACTGCTCCAAGACGGCTGCAAGTGGCCACAGGAACCCTCAGGGATCTCTCCGAGCGGCTCAATCCACTTCACAACTTCAAAGGCTTTAATCACTGCGCCTCCTATTTCTTTCGCCTCCGATGGGCCTCTAGGGCCTCAAGACAAGATGGCTCCAACATCGCCCAATAGCGCCCCAAGAGAGACCCAGGTTGCACCTCAAACCAGCCCCGAATGCTCCCAAGACCATCCCAAGAGGGCCCCGAGGGTCGTTGTGTCGTTCTAGAGCGGGGCAGTGCGAATCGGTGCCGCTCTTCTGCTAACAGCGAGGATCTGCAAGAGAAGCTCCGCTGAACCAGCGGCACGAACAGTGCGCGTCCAAATGGCCATGGGATCGGCAACAAGCCTAGGGGGCCACATGCGAACCCTACCCCTACCCCCCACGACTTCTGAGGGGGGAGGGTGGGGTTCACTTCGCTCGGGAGCTCCCAGACAAAATGAACCCCACCCTCCCCCCTCAAAATCATGGGGGGTAGGGGTAGGGTTCGCATGTGCCCCCCTACAGCTGAAGCCACCCGATGGAACGCACGCCCCCACGGCAAAACCAAGGAACTGGGGCCGCTGCCGGAAGAGACGGAAACCTCTGCGGGACCCAAAAGGCTAGCAAAGCACCTCTGCGGGAACCCAGATCGGCCAGATCTACCCGCGCTCTCAGCGCTGCCGAGGTGCGCGGCCGGTGCGGCTCTGACCTCAGACGTGCTGCAAGGTGGGCTGATTCGACTCCGGAGACGCTCTGTGGAGACCTGCCGCCGTGCCGCTGAGCAACGTGTGAAGTGCGTTAAACGTGACTCTTTTGCTGGGGAGGGGTGGGACTGGGCATGAGGCGTGCAGCTCCCGTAATGCAAACGGTACCTCAATCGCAGTGCGTGAAGGGAAACAGCAGGCCCTGGTCGGTCTCTGCATGTGGGAGCTGCGGGTGCGCTCGGGGCTCTGCCTGAAATGAAATGCGGGGTACAGCGACTTGCCACTCTCTCGTGGCCTCGCTGCTTCCGCTTTTCCTAAGATCTGGCGAACGTGGGACACAAGCTTTAGGTCGGGCGCGTCCTACTACAGGAGATTTTGGACGAAGAGTTAAAATCAGTCAACAAAATATTCCAAAATGGTCAAACAGACAATACTCAAAAATTCGTCCACTTACTATGTTTGACTATTTTTAAAATTCCTCCTGTAGAGGGACAGGCCCGACATAACACGAACTGCAGGGAACGGGGACTGGGCCTCCGAGACGGGCCCACTCATGCACAACTGTAAAGACTTCCGAGGCAGACTTGCACGCTCGCTCCCGCGCAGTGTTTTTTTGGCCGAGCTCGAGGGCGCGCGGGGCAGATTTGACCGCCGACGTGCGTTTTATGCTGTCTCGTTCCAGGACGCGTGCAGGATTCCTCTCTTCCGACTTCCCAATGTTCGCGAATGGAACTGCCACAACTGCAATACACGAAACCGTCGATCCTCAATGACAACCGGATGATCTCTACATCAAGCGCGACCTGAGTGCCGATGGTATGCTGTAGTCGAAAGACTGCATGGGTCTCTTGATGCTTGGGTTGCATGAGAACGGCAATGCCCGTGGATCTTTTGCGCCCTCCCTGTGCTGCACAACGGACGTCATGATTCTAAGCCTCCGAGTGCGGGGCATGGTGCCCAACACAACTGTCAGCCAAGCAACATCGATGCCGCACCCGAGGCTCTCCAATGCCTGCGCAACGCACAGGAACCCCTCTTTCACGGACTACTTTTCACGCACGCCTTGTATATCTTCTGCGACCATGCCCCATATCAGCGGGCACCAGCACGCGGCGATGCCCAGGACTCGTTCACACGAGGCATGAGTGTGCATCCTCGTATATGACCCACACTCTACAGGTCCACATGTGTCTGCAAACATGGACCGATAAACTGGTGTGAGCATTGTCCAGCAAGAGACGAAACATGTACGCAGAATTGCGCGACACTCCTGGAGCCCAGAACGAACCACCCGCGAAGACGGCGCTGGATATCGCCTTGATGCACCCATGATGCAAACCGATTTCTCAAATGTTCCTCGAGATGTCCCATGACCGCCTACGTACGATGACCTCGGATACACCTCACCGGGAGCGAAGAACTCAAAACTTCGAACTGCCAAGCTGACCGTTCAGAGTGCAGCACTCAATGTCCCACTGCCTGATGCACAATGCTCATGCCCGTAACCGCGCTGTGCCGCTGCGATGCGCCGAGACGGGCGCATCGACTTTGCACTTAGGCAGCGCACCTCGGCCTCTTGCGCTTAGACTGACGCGCCCGTCGCTGCTGAGGGCTTGCTAGAAAACATTGGAACCATCTGCATGCCGCAAGCATTGTCTCTTGCTAGCACTGCCCCTCTCAAACAACATGCCGCAAACGGATCAGGGATACCGAAGCCCGGAAGGACCGCATCAGCCGCGGCCCGAAGAAGATCCGCGACGAGATCCCTGGGCGCTTCCCGTAGTCCTCGGGCGGGGCCGTCCAGGCCGATAGCACCCCAGGCTTGAGCAACCGGGGGACAGGATGGGGAACACGGATCCAGCACTGAAAAACAAACAATCAAGGTGGTGAGCCGACCGCCGACGACGGCGGCACGCAGGCCCGAGCTGGAGCCAGGAGAAGCGGAGACCACTACGAGGGGCCGCCCGGGCATCGAGTGCTGGAGACGCGCTGGGGCGCGGAATGGAACGTGCGCCATGGGCCCTGGGCAACACCCGCTTCACAGTGGTAGCCCCTACCCTGACCCTCCTACTCCTCCTGCTGCGCATCCTCCTCCTCGTCCTGCTGCTCTACATCCTCGTCGTCCTCGTCGTCGCCGTCTTCGGGGTGGGGGGCATTGGCCGTAAGGCCTTTGCAATAGCCCCTGCGTCGGCCCGCCGTTTGTCTGCTGTGAGGGCCCTGGGCAGCATCGGAAGCCCCGACTCACAGTTCACCGAATGCCATGGGAGAGCTGACCATGTCCTCCAGATGGCGGACCCGAACCCATTGTAGTTTCGCCAGTGTTCCACCGAGGGCTAGATGCCAACAGCTCCATCCTCGACTGTGAGCCTCTCTCCAGCGTCTCCCTGGGAAGATATTAAATGCTGGAATATGGCAGGAGCTGGCATGAAGCTGCAGCTTCCTTACCCAAGGCTCTGGTCATACGACGCACAAATCTGCGTTTGCACACGCGCGTGCTCATTCTGCACGTGGACCCCGTAGGTGCATCAGAGCGTATGCGTGCACCCCTCCAAACGTTTAACCGTAAAAATTAGGGACGCACGGTCAGGATGCAAAGAGTTCGGGAGACCTGCAATCCGCGGTCCCTTGCAAGACCCATTGGAAATATCAGCTTGGCAGAAGATGGGCCGAACAAGGACGGATGCAAAAGCAACCTTGACGAAATACGGGCCGCTCGGACGGAACACGGAGACACGTGACTGTCGGAAACTTGTCAAATTACAATAGGTGTCAACTCGCCCCCGAGAAAATGCTAACGGGAGCCCTCTCCGATTACCAGCGGGTGCAGTAGGACGGCACATGAAGTAGACGTGGATCTGGGATTCGAACAGCAGCATCTGGTAACGAACTGCTTGCCCTCCATTATTACCACCGTAGCCGATCTCCAACGGCGAAACTTTCACGCTGCGGACCCCATTTTCTGTAACGAGGAGGGGAGCGACGACAACAACGCCAAGGACAAGCACGACGACGAGTAGATGTCCAACAGGGGTGGGTTGTGGTGAGTGGAGGAGGGGCGCGCCGCATCGCCTGGGACGGCAGCGTAACGAGGAGGAATACGACGACGACGATGAAAACGACAAGTAACTGTCCGCAAACGGTGGGCAAGAGCGCTCCGAATCGAATCGAAAAATTTGATCGGCGATCGAAATGGATCGGATCGGCGGGAATCGGCAGCCAAGTCGGAAGAAATCGAATCGGCGGCCTCAATGGAGAAATCGGAATCAGAATCGGATTCCGAAGTCGAATCGACTCGGAACCGAAGCCATGGAAATCGAATCGAATCGGAGGAGTCGAAACGAGCCCTGGGGGGCGGCGGGGAGGGCGGGGGGGCGCGGCACGACGCCTGGGGCGACGACGCAAAGTGAAGACGTCGACAAATACAGTAGGGGCCCGACCACAAGAAACCTTCCAAAAGAAACCCAAGCTTGAGACACCAGGACGTCCATTGACCATTGATGTTTGGCGTGGGAGCATCACGCTTTCCATCGCAAAAGCATCAACACCGAAGAAATCCAGGGCACCCTGGAGGCAAGCAGGGTGCTTCTTGGCATGGGCCCCCACTGTACCCCCTCAAGGGAAGCACAGCCAGTCTTGCGCAGCTCAGAACGAACGCTGCTCGTCCCCCAGAGGACCACGGGGGAGACATCCTCACCTGCAGCCCCAGAACCCACACTGCTCATCCTCGTCCTCCTCCTCCGCACCCTCTTCACTCCCTCCCTCTCTGACGTGCCCTCCTTCTTCCCCTACTCCTCCCTCCCTCCTTCGCTGAGCACATGTGTTGTAGGCAGTTTAGTGATGTCACGGTTGTTTTCACCCACAGCCACCAGGAAAGTAAGGATGTTGTCGAGGGCCGTGCCTTAAGTAGTCTAGTGCTGGCGAACACGGTTGCTGATGAGCTGGCAGGCACGGCAGCGAATATATGCAGGGTACCTCTGAATGTTAGGCACGATATTTTAGTTATTGAGAAGAAGGCCTTCCAAATTAGGATGAGGCTCCTAAGGGCTACCCTTGATTGTTTTGAGGCTGAGAAGAAGGCTGCTCTGGAGGCGAGGGAGAGGAAAAGTGAGGGGGTCCCGCCTCCCCCTCCCCCCCCGCCCCGCCCCGCTGCTGCTGCTCTCGCCCCGCTCCTGTCGGCTCACAGGCTCACGGAGTGCAAACGTAAGTGTATTAGATGCTTCGGGTCAGCCACTCTGGCCACTGCGCCTGAATGGTGGAGGACCGACTGCCCCGCCCTCTACAATGTTGACGGCACCCTGATGGCCCCGTCTGGCCGTGGAGCCCGTATCCATGTAGCGGGGGGCTGGCTGCACCCCTCTCACCTCCTTAATTATCATATTGTTTTGAAGGTTTGGTTTTGTGGGCATTGCGGGAGCATAGCTGATAAGCAGCTGCGCTCCCTCGGCAAACCCTGTGGCCCTCCCACGCGCACGGGGCGTGAATATTTAGATCGCATACAGAGTGGGCTAACCCCCAAAGTCCTAAGCAAGGCCGACCAAGCACGGCGGCAGCGAAGGTCTTCTCAGTAGTGTGGTCTGTTCGGGATTGGCTTTGCCAGTGGTTCCTATTCCTATTCCTATTCCCCCCCTGTCGCCCTCTTCCTTCCCCCATCCGACCACCCCTTTCTTTCTCTTTCCCCACGTCCCCTCCCCTCCCTCTCTAACCCGCCCCTTCCACCACCAACACCAGAAAAACGGAGTCCCAAAACCAGAGGCCGAGGACTACCGGAAGAGACAAGAAGACTTCGTATGCGCATGTCGTGCCCTCCCCCCTTCCCCCTCTTCCTGCTTTAGAGGCCTCCCAGATGGAGTCCGAGTAGATGGAGTCGGAGGGTCGCGCCGCGACGGCGATGCATCAGCGACGTCGGCGGTGCATCGGAGACGCCAGCGTGGAGAAAAAATCGGGCTCCACATCGAGCTGCATCGCCGATGCACCGGCGATGCGGCGCGATCCTCCGACCCCATCTGCTCGGACCCCTCCCGGCCCTGCAAACTACACCCTCACGGCACAGCCAGAAGGATCGCCAGATCAGGAGCAAAGGGGCTTTCCTGGCCACGGCGAGCCCGGGCCGCGATCGGGCTCCCTGGCCTGGACCTGAGGAACGGCCTGACAAGCACAGCCCCTCCCCCGAACCCAGAGTGGTCCGTACTTGAGCGCCTCGGCTGTTACCCCCCCCCCCTCTCCGACCCCCAGGGCCCCCATGGCGTTCCAAGCGCCGCGCGGGCGGGGCTGCGGAGCAGACCCCTGCGGGCGAGCGCCCTCGGCTCCTCGCACACGACCTCGTGGTAGACGTCGTGGTTCGGGTCGGGCTGGTGCCCCCGCGTGCGCCTGGCATGGACGTCACGTGCTCAGTCAAACCACCGGCCAACATACAGGCGGCTATATGCCAAGAGAGTACCCCTCAAGAACAGGAGACCCTCCGCTGGCCAAAGCACACAGAGAACGTCCAAGGGTGCCCTCCCCAGGGTGCACAAGAACATCCAACAAACACGAAGAACACTGGGGTACCCTCCCCGAACCGACCTCGGTCTTCTACTTCGGTCCGACTGTAAGTCCGCCACCGTGCCTCTGCGCACGGAGTGGGCGTGTCCTCAATCCTCGAGCCTGCGGAGTCTGGAAGGGACTCGAAGCCCAAATTGCCCAGATTCCCGGGGCTTCCCGGGTGCCCCCTGGGCTTCCTCGCGGCTTGTCGCGTGACTGCTCTCGGTCCAAAGAGGGCCCCGAGTCGCCGAAAGATTTTTCCAATACGCTCTAGATGGCCTCCAGAAGGCCCAAGAGGCCTCCAAGACGCCGCAAGAAGCCTCCAAGAAGTCTCCCAAGAGAGCTCCAAGAGGCCCACATCATTGGTATCCTCAGGGGCTTCAAGGATTTCGGCACTATCGCTTGTTGGGCTTCCCGACGCTCCAAAACCTCTTAAGACACCCCCAGGATCGCCACAAACGGCCTCCAAGATGGCCCCAAAATGGCTCTGGAGGGCCGGCCCAATAGGCCTCCAAGATAGCCCAGGAGGCCCCCAAGATGGCTCCAGGAGGGAACCCAGACGGGAGACCCGAACGAACATGTTGAGCCTTCGTCCCCAAGACGGGCCCCAGGAGACCCCAAGGCGGCTCACGAGGATCCAAAGATCGTCCAAGGGGCTCACAAGAGAACCCTCAAGACGGCTTTGAAGCGCTCCAAGAGAGCGTCAAAACGGGCCAGAGAAGCCCCCAAGACGGCCATCGAAAGCGCCAGATGAGCCTGAGACGATCCACGAGGCCCCAATAAGCCCCCGAGAGGCCACAGGAGGCCACCAAGGGGCCTCTCAAGAGGCTCATAAGAAGCATCCAGGAGGCCTCAAGAAAGGGACCCATGATCCTTCACATCCTCGTCTCCTCCTCCTCCGCCTCTTCCTCCATACCGCGCGGACGAAGACGAGGTCGAGACCGAGACCCTTCCCAAGTCAGACCAAACGCTGAACTGCCGCGGAGCGTGAACTCGACCTACTTCCTATCGCGCCGACGAAGACAAAGAGACAAGGTCGAGTTCACGGCCCGTCCTGGTTCAGATCAGTCGTCGGACTTGCGCTGCTCCTACACACGGTCTCCTTGCTGCTGCGCCGTTGCACAGACACGGTGGCGGGGCTTGCCGCAGGCGGCTGGATAGAACTGGCCGATCCTCCTGTAACCTGTGAGCTGACGGCGTGAAGTTCGGATCCGAGGTCGCCCTCCGCAGATCCTCCTCCTCCCCCCCCCTCCCACCTCCCCCCTCGCTTCCAGGCGCGCCGCTCCTGGGGCCGCCCGAACCGAAAATGCCCTCGCCGGGGGGGCGGTGCTGCGCGCCCGTTGAGCGACGTGCGCAGGCGCCGCTGCAGCAGCGCCATCGGCTCCGGTGCCTCCGCGGCGCAAGGGCTTGCGAGGAAGGAGGGGGGCGGAAGAACCGGGGTCGAACTAATTCAGCAGTGTTTTCCGTTCTCGTTTTGTGCCCCTTGTCCCTCGTTGCGCCTTCGTTCCGCCGCGGCTGCAGCACGACATACGAGAACGGTGCACAAACTCGCCAAGACACCGTTTAGCTCGGGTCCTGCGATGGATGGGCGGGGGAGGGATGGGAGGGAGGGAGGGAGGGAGGAGGGGCGCGATGGGCGAGGGGGCAGGGATGAGACGGAGGAATGGAGAAAGGGAGGATTGGCTTGCAGGGAGGGCGAGGGAGGGGGAAGAGAAGGGTGGAGGGAGGGAAGAGGAGTTCTTGAACTTGAAGCGGGAATTGATTGCTTGAATGTGCCTCTTGAGGCTGAGAAGGTGGAACTACGTAGTGCAACGGAAAGATAGCCTGATGCGCGGGTGCAAACGCTCGTCTCGCTGTGACAATCGGCACCCCTACAGTTAGGTGAATATTTTGCTTGTGAAATGTATGACTGACTGTAGGAGGATTCGTGGCTGGGGCGCGGCTCGCCCTAGCTGTCTTTCCAGACGAAAGCCCACCTGTCGTGTTGGCGTGATCCGCTGGAGAGGCATTCCCAACGTCTACTTTGGGTGCTGGAGCCCACGCCGTGGGCTGCTGGAACCATTTCCCCGCGCTCCTTCGTGAGAGCCGGATGCTGGAGTCCACCCTTCTCGACGACATCGTCTGCTGGAGCGACGTTCCCTCGTCAGAGGTGGGTGCTGGAGCCTACGCCGTGGGCTGCTGGAGCCACTGCCCCTCGTGAACCTCGGATGCTGGAAGCCACCCCTCTCGACGGCACAGTCTGCTGGAAGCCACTCCCCCTCTGTACACATGGGGCGCTGGAGCCACTCCCCGTTTAGGGTTAGGTCGGGCCATGTCCTCCTGCAGGGGGATTGGGGACGACGCATACAACAAACAGCCAACAAATATTATTAAACATGATCAAACAATAATCGAAAAATCGTCCCCAAGCAATTTTTTACTATTTTTGAGCATTCCTCCTGTAGAGGGACACGCTCGTCTTAACACTTCCCGTTGTAAACATTGGGCGCTGGAGTCACACCCCGTCAGGGCTTTACAAATATCCGCCGCCGTGCCGCTGGAGGAGTGGGCGTGTCCTCCGGTCCTTGGCCTAATCCATTGAGTATCGTTTAACCGATCCCCATCCCCAGCGGCGTGGCCTGGGCCCCACTGGCCGATTTACACCCCTAGATGGGGATATAGGGCGTTCCCTTAGGGCTTCGAGGGGTGTATCCCCAACTGGGGTGGTAATTTGGTGGGGGTCTCGAAGGGGATGAGGATGGGGATGGGGGTCGGTTAAACGACACTGATCCATGGAGCACTCCTGGAGGCATTCTGAGGGGCCCAGGCACAGTTTGCCAAGTCTCTCGGAGCTTCCCGCGTGCCCCCTGGGGCTTCTCGCGCCTTCTCGCGTGACTTTTTCGGAATCAAGGGGGCCCCAACGCGGACCAAGAGGGCTCCGAGAGACCCCGAAGACGATCCAAGAGGGCCCCGAGTCGATCAGCGCAAGATGCCCAAGATGGCCCGAAGACGGCCCAAGAGGCTTCCAAGACGCCCTGAAGAGGCCTCCAAGAGGCCTCCCAACGGGGCCCCCTGCGCTTCCGGACGGCCCAGACCACCCGAAGAGGCCTTCAGAAGGGCCCCAAGACGGCCTAACAGCGCCCCAAGACGGCCCAAAGGGCGCCCAAGACAGCCCAAGAGGGCCCCAAGACGGCCCCATTAAGGAGCCCAGAAGAGGGAGTACGAACCGAAAATCCGAGCCTTCTGCCCCAAGAGGTCCCCAGGAGGCCCCCAGAGACGCCCAAGAGGCCCCCAAGCGCCTCAAAAGAGGCTCCAAGAGGCCCCAAAAGGGCCCTCAATTGGCTTCAAAACTGCTTCCAAGAGGCCACCGAGAGGCCGCCCACGAGATCCCAACGAACATCCAACAAGCTTCATAACCACAGCCCAGGCACGGTGGCGTGATGGGCCAAGGCCATCAGATCCGCCGCCCCCTGTCGATTCATCGCAGGGGTGCCTGGCGTGCAAGATTATTTAGATTCTGGTTTTGGTTCTTTTTCCAAAAGAACTCCCCCTGGGGCTTCGGCCCGTCCGGCCGGCCACCCGGAAAGACTGCCCGGCTTGCCCGGAGCCGGTTGCCAAGGATTTGTCCTGCTCCAGACGGCTCCATGACGGCCCAAGATGGCCTCCAAGATGCCTCCAAGGCAGCCAAGCTGACCTCCAAGACGGTCAAGATGGCCCCAAGATGCACCCAAGACGGGCCAACAAGATGGTCTAAGACTGCCTAAAAGGCCCACAACGGGTCCTCTCGGGCAGTTCTGGGGGCCTCAGGAAGCGCCAGAAAGTGCCAACGGCGAGGACGAGGAGGGAGGGGATGGGAATGTGGGAGCAACCGTCGTGGTCTGGACGCCTCCCGACTGAGCCCGAATAGATGGGGTCGGAGGAGCGCGCCGCATCGCCGACGTGGGCGACGCATTGGCACCATCGGCGTGGAGAAAATTATATCTCAAACGAGCCGCATCGCTGATGCATCGGCATGCAACACGATCTTCCGAACCCATCCGTGAGCAGGGGCAGACCGCCCCGGCATTCCCATGCAAAGGCCAGGCCTGGCCTACCACAAAATGCTCGTAGAGCTGAAGGGTGTTCTAAGACCTAAACCAGTGTTCTTGGAGTGCAGAAGCCGATCCACTCAACCAACCCAACCGGACATATTCGAGGAACGCTTCGTGCAAACCACGAGTGGCTCTCAGAGCATTCTTCGGTGGGCCTATAGGAAGGCCGGGACGGTTCGCCGCTGCTTGCACATTGGGTCGGCGGTGAGCCCTGGGGAGAGTTTTGTTCACTCAAGGGCAGAAGGAACGCCGCTCCACGTCGGCGGTCCCGTCGCCTTCAGCCTCTGTAGCTGGAGGCGCTTGACTTCTGGTGGCACTGGAAAGCCTGAGAATGCTCGATGTCACGAAACGAACTTTCCATCGTCCGGGTGGAGACCCGAAAGCAACCTTCTCCGAGCAACGTATCTCTGGCCACCCTTTGGCAGCCCTTTGCACTGCACCAGAAGCCCTTTGAAAACAAAGGTAGTGTGGTTGCAGCACCTCGCACAGAAAAGCAAAAGGCCATCTCGGCAAGTGCCCGCAGACAGGGCGTGAGATGGGTGCACCTCGGACGCCCCCAGGCCTCCCGAGAAGTCTTCTGAGCGTGCCCCGAGGACGCAGAACACTTTTCAGAAGGCGCAGGGAATCCTGAGAAGTCCCGCCGCCTTGTGAGAAGACCTTCTCCTTCTCACTTCCCACCCGGGGCGCGCCGCCGACTTGGTTTTTGGATCACATCTCGGGTCCCTGGCGGCCGTCCGCGACGATCCCGGCACCCCCGGAACGCCCTCGGCAGGGCGCGGCTGCTGGCAACCATCCCGAGGCTGGAGAAGCGCCTAGAATCGACGAAAACGCCCAATAACCTTGAAGCTCGAACCCGACATTCCCCCCTCTCGCTGGCCGCCGACCATAAAGGCCTCCTAGATGGGGTCCGAGTAGATGGGGTCGACGGATCGCGCCGTATCGCCAATGCATTGCTGATGGATCGGCGATGCATCGGCGACGCATCGGCGACGTCAGCGTGGGGAACCACGGTTTCCACATCGAGCCGCATCGTCGATGCATCGGCGATGCGGCGCGATCCTCCGACCACATCTGCCCGGACCCCATCTGGGAGGCCCCGAGACCCGGGGGGGGGGGCCAGCGTCCGTGGCCGCCGTCGGGCCCGCGGCCCGCCTCCGGCCGCGGCGCCGCGGGAGCGCGCCCGCACTCCTGGGCGGGAGGCGCGGGCGCGGGCGTGCCGGGCCCGAGCGCGGAGGGCGGTGGACAGCGAGAGGGCGGGGGAGAGACTGAGGGGATGGAGGAGGGGGAGGAGGGGGAGGAGGAGGAGGAGGAGGAGGAGGAGGAGGAGGAGGAGGAGGAGGAGGAGGAGGAGGACGAGGAGGAGGAGGAGGAGGAGGAGGAGGAGGAGGGGATCCTTCGGAGGTCTGGGTCCTGGGACTCCCGGCCCGTCGGGGCGGCGGCCCCGCCCCGAGGGCGGCGGCCCGGTCGCCGACCTGCCAGAGCTGCTGCGGGCGGATCCGCGGAGGCGAGGGGCAACGACAGGGCGGGGGCCCGGCCAACAGAAATCTTCCACGAGAAACCCAAACCTGAGACCACAGGCCGTCCATAGATTTTTGGTGGGGGAACGTCACGCTTCCCACCGCAAAACCATCGAAACCCAAGAAACCAAAGGCACCCTGGAGGCAAGCAGGGTGTTTGTTGGCATGTATCTCCACTGTAGGACGGGGGGGGGCGACGAGGACGAGGACGAGGACGAGGACGAGGACGACCACGACCTTATCGCTGAGGGTCAACGCAACGAACGGGGAGGGGGTGGGGGCCAGGTCAGGGGGGCGGGCGGGGCATCCACATGGAATTGGCAATACACATCATCGATGGATCGGCGATGGGCCCCCGATCAGAAGGCCGCACGGTGCTGGGCGGGGTGGGCTCATCGGGCTCCCATCGACCATGATGTGGCGATTGCGGGTCGATGCGTCCCCCCCTGAGCATATCCGACCCTATCGTTAGGTCTGGCATGTCCTCCTACAGGCCGATCTGGGCAGAAAACTGAAACATACCCGAACAAGACTCAGAAGCAGCCAAACAGAATAGAAACATCGTCCCCAGACTATCGTTGTTGACTATATTTGAACAATTCCTCCTGTAGAGGGACACGCGCGACTTAATCCGATCGTCGTTGCCCCCAAGGACAGGTTTGGATGATCCGAAAGTGGGTCCAGCCGGAGAACTGTTTTGCATTGTATTGCAAGTAGTGCATGGCACGCGAAAATACAGCAATACATCTGCGCCCAGGAATGCATTTCACGCCCAAATGTACTTCAACCCCCCAAATCTATTGCACCCAATCTATTGCACCACCCCCTTGTCGCTGGACCCCCTTTTGGGTCGACACGAAACATCGTCCCCTGACTATTTCCCCATATCCTAAGATGGGGTTCTTGTTATTACTTGGGCGCCTCCTACTCCCCCTTCCTCTTCTCCTCCTCCTCATCCTCCTCCTCACACCTAGACTTACTCATACAAAGACTTACTCATACACAGACTTACTCATACTGAGGCCTAATCATATCAACTTACGCATATTCAGGCCTACTCATACTCTGACCTACTCATACTCAGGCTTACTCATGCTGAAACTCACTCATACCCAGACTTAGTCATACTCAAACCTTCTCATTGTCTGATTTAATCAACACATAGCATATTGTGACGATGTCTCAGGCGGGGCACTGGCTTCAGCACCCCTAAGTGGAGCCGCCGAAGGGTATGACACGGTCCCGTTCGCGGCTGGTTTGTGGGGGGGTCTTAAGCGGTTCGCCTGTTTTCTGTCTCAACATCTTTCGCTTGGATAGCAGATTGGAGGATGTCTCAGGCGGGGCGCTAGCTTCAGCACCCCTAAAGGGAGCCGCCAAGGGTGCTTTCACGGCTCCGCTCGTCGCCGTTATGTGGGGATTTCTCTAGCGGTTTGCCTGCTGTCTGCTTTTGCGTTGTGTCCCCAGTGGCTACCCCCGTTGCGTACGGCGGTCAAGGAGGAGTGACCAGGTGTTGCTGGCGCAGAGCTTGTGTCACCATGGGATGTTGCTTTCCCTCTCCGTGGTGCTTTCCAATTTTGTCGTCGTCAGCGGGAGAGGGAATTTGAGAAAGTTCATTATCCCGCGTGCGTTTTGGGTTGGGGAAGGAACTTGAAAAAAAGGTTCACTTTCCAGGCAAGGACAAGGAACTTGAAAATATTCACCCTCCCTCGTGTGGTCGGGCTGAAGTGGGAACTTGCAAAGGTTCACCCTTCAGTCGCGGGAAAGGGAACGTGCAAATGTTCACTTCCCCGCATGCGATCGAACTGGAGCGGGAAATTGAAAAAGGTTCACTCTCCACGCGGGGGAGAAGGAACTTGACAAAGTTCATTCTCCCTCTTGTGGTCGGACTGAAAAGGGAATCCGAAAAAAGGTTCACCCTGCAGCCGCGGGAAAGGGAACTTGCAAATGTTCATTTTCTTGCTTACGCTCGAATTGGAGAGGGAACTTGAAAAACGGTTCTCTCTCCCTACGAGTAGGACGATTGAGCGATACGCGAGGAGGAGGAGAGGAGCTTTGCTTTGTCGTAGGTGGTAAAAAAAAAACTCACGCATTTTTTTTTTGGGGGGGGCGGGGGGGGCGTTCCTGGGGTGGGGAAACTTATCCCGGCGAAGGAGACCCAACCATAAGCAATTGTTCGTAACGCGTTGTGTGTGCCGCTTTCGGTGGGGCTCCCTATGGGGCCACGAAGCGCTGCCCTGGGTGGGGGAAACGCATGCGAGAGCAGCCACTGGGGCCTTCGGTGGAGCTCCCTATGGGGCCGCGAAGCGCTGCTCTGGGTGGGGGAACCACATGCGAACTGCGCCACTGGGGCCTTCGGTGGAGCTCCCTATGGGGCCACGAAACGCTGCTCTGGGTGGGGGAAAACCGCATGCGAGAGCCAGTGGAGCCTTCGGTGGGGCTCTCTATGAGGCCACGGCTGCCCTGGGCGGGGGAACCGCATGCGAAAGCAGCCGCTGGGGCCTCCGGTGGGGCCTCATTATGAGGCCACGAAGCGCTGCCCTGGGCGGGGGAACCGCATGCGAGAGCAGCCACTGGGCCCTTCGGTGGAGCTCCCTATGGGGCCACGAAGCGCTGCCCTGGGTGGGGGAACCGCATGCGAGAGCAGCCACTGGGGCCTTCGGTGGAACCCCCCATGGGTCCACGAAGCGCTGCCTTGCGTGGGCGATCCGCACGCGAACTGCGCCACCGGGGCCTTCGGTGGAGCTCCCTATGGGGCCGCGAAGCGCTGCCCTGGGTGGGGGAACCGCATGCGAGAGCAGCCGCTGGGGTCTTCGGTGGGGCTCCCCATGGGGCCACGAAGCGCTGCCCTGGGTGGGGGAACCGCATACGAACTGCGCCAGTGTGGCCTTCGGTGGAGCTTCCTATGGGGCCACAAAGCGCTGCCCTGGGCGGGGGAACGGCATGCGAACTGCGCCACTTGGGCCTTCGGTGGAACTCCGTATGGGTCCACGAAGCGCTGCCCTGGGTGGGGGAACCGCATGCGAAAGCAGCCAGTGGAGCCTTCGGTGGGGCTCTCTATGGGGCCACGAAACGCTGCCCTGGGCGGGGGAACCGCATGCGAGAGCAGCCACTGGGGCCTTCGGTGGAGCTCCCTATGGGGCCACGAAGCGCTGCCCTGGGTGGGAGACCGTATGCGAGAGCAGCCATTTGGGCCTTCGGTGAAGCTCCCTATGGGGCCACGAAGCGCTGCCCTGGGTGGGGGAACCGCATGCGGGACCACCCACTGGTTCCTTCGGTGGAGCTCCCTATGGGGCCACGAAGCGCTGCCCTGGGGAACCATGCGAGAGCAGCCACGGTGGAGCCACGAAGCGCTGCCTGGGTGGGGGAACCGCATGCGAGAGCAGCCACTGGGGCCTTCGGTGGAGCTCCCTATGGGGCCACGAAGCGCTGCCCTGGGTGGGGGAACGGCATGCGAGAGCAGCCACTGGGGCCTTCGGTGGAGCTCCCCATGGGGCCACGAAGCGCTGCCCTGGGCGGGGGAACAGCATGCGAGAGCAGCCACTGGGGCCTTCGGTGGAGCTCCCTATGGGGCCACGAAGCGCTGCCCTGGGCGGGGGAACCGAATGCGAGAGCAGCCACTGTGGCCTTCGGTGGAGCTCCCTGTGGGGCCACGAAACGCTGCCTTGGGTGGGGGAACCGCATGCGAGAGCAGCCACTGGGGCCTTCGGCGGAGCTCCCTACAGGGCCACGAAGCGCTGCCCTGGGTGGGGGAACGGCATGCGAGAGCAGCCACTGGGGCCTTCGGTGGAGCTCCCCATGGGGCCACGAAGCGCTGCCCTGGGCGGGGGAACGGCATGCGAGAGCAGCCGCTGGGGCCTTCGGTGGAGCTCCCTATGGGGCTACGAAACGTGCGAGCGGTGTGCCGAGAGCAGAGGCAAGGAGGGGGTGGAGGGAGGAGGGATGGGGGCAGCGGGAGGAGGAGACGCAGGGCACCGTCCCTTCAAAACGAAGACCCAACACCACAGGATGGTTGGGAATGATTCTTCCCTCCGGGACGGAGCAGGAACTGAGTCGTTGAAAACGGTCGCAAATCAATATAGTTTACGATGCAAAATCGAAGCGAAACGCGCCGGAAAACCCCGAGACGGTAAACATATTGTTGTGGGTTTGTTTCTGGCGGCTCCGGGGGCTCGGAAAGGACCTCCGGGACAGGGGAAACACGGAAGGGATCCCATCTAAAGGCATTCGGCCACATCCACCACCGTGCCTGGGTAATGGGCGGGAGAAGGAACTTGAAAATATTCACTTTCCCGCTGGTGGTCGAACTGGAGAGCGAACTTGAAAGCGTCCATTCTCCATGCAGGGGTGGAACGTGAAAGTGCTCGTCATCGAAGAGGTGAGCATGGTGTGTGCCGCAAACTACAACATGCGCGGGCGCACCAAGTCCCGCGATGTCCCCGCCAATGGTGCAGCTTTGGCAAGGTGCCCGATCGCCATCCACTTGGGTGATTTCCTGCAGTTGAAGCCGACTGCGCAGCTCAGCCTCGCGACAGATTCCAACGAAAAAGGCGAAGGCGGCAACCGCGTGCTTTCGGAGCCGCCCTCGCTTGAGATTCAGAACGCCGTCAGGGTCTCCAAGAGGACCATCTGTGTCATCGAGCTCCAGGGAACGATCCCCTCGTAGAGCTC